GACAAAGTCAGCGAGCCTGACCACCTGATCCCGATAGTCGTCTCTTCCGACAAGCATAGTTGCGTGTTTCGACAAGCATGGGTTGCTGAAGACCTTTTGTGACCCTGGATCTTCACGCGTCCCTGGCCGGATGAGAACTATTCATTATGGGATGATAAACTTTACGTCTTATACGTACAACTAAATATACATTGTGTAATGTACTGTTTTCGATTATCGGAATAGAAGGTTTATTCAGTAATAGCCATACACGTATGTTCATGAACTGTATTTGTTCAGTTTAAATTTTAATTCTTTATGTTCTGTGACGTGCACTTTTTAAGTTTTAAAGTTGTACAGTGTGTCTTGTAATTCAGTTCGGTTACATGGTGATGGTGTTCACTTTAAAGACAATATAAGCGCTGTTTTTTATTGATTTGAAGTGTGAACAAAATGAAAAGTTAATTGTGACTGTTGTGAAACTTGAAGATTTGGAAACACCCCCTCCCTCCATCTGCAAAGCTGGTCAACGCATGCATAGCAAGAGAAGGGTGAAACACGTGCTTGTCATCCTGTCACACGGTGCACGTGGGTTTGGGCGATGCAGTAAACCCATGCCATGCTTCTGGTGGTGTCGCACGATCAGAGACAAGATTGCGTTTGGACGATGCAGTAAAGAAAGACAGAAACCTACGTGCTTTCACTCTTTTGGTGGTCGCATGACAAGAGAACCGACTGTTTGGGTGATGCAGTATTTAAAACTATACCTGTGTTGCCTGTAGTCAAATAATGGTCCCTAGTTTGAGTCGCGAGGTCGTGCTCTGTAATAGAATCTGGTTCAGACAAACCAGTGGTCGATAGTGTGAGTTTCTACATACATACATACATGCACGCACGCACGCACACATACATAAAACCAAGATAAATAAAGAAATATATTTATTCATATACAGACAGACCGTCTCCTCAGTCTAAAAATATATTTATTCATATACAGACAGACCGTCTCCTCGGTCTAGTGGTAGAGCGTCCGCTCGGAGAGCGGAAGGTCCAGGGTTAGATCCCCAACCGCGTCATACCAAAAGACGTTAAAAGATGGTAAAAGAATGGGCTCACTGGTCGACTCAGAGTCCGTATAGTGTGTGAGAGTGGGACTAGTACAAGCGGCCACACACACACACACACACACGTGCATGTACGTCGCTATATCAGTGCTATAATCTTGGACGCGACGTTAAACCCGATTTCATCTCACCTCATATACAGACAGACACTAAACAGGATACATACACACACCACGACTGATACATACATTTGTACCGGGGTAGAAGAGGTCTTCAGCAACCCATGCTTGCCGTAACAGGCAACTGTGCTTGGAAGATCGGATGGTCAGGCTCGCTGACTTGGTTGATGCATGTAATCGATCCCAATTGCGTGGATCGATGCTTATGATATTAATCACTGGATTGATCCATACTCGATTATTTACAGACCGCGCCATATAGCTGGAATATTGCTGAGTGCGGCGTTAAACAACAATTCAACCAACCAACAAGCCCGCACCCAAACATATACATGGTATATAGATTCAATTTAGGGTTCTACATTTCAAAACTCCTCAAAACCCCAGTGTAATATTGATGGAGTTTGTAATCACCTGTGTCTGTGATAAGTGCACAATTTCTCCAGCACAATGTACATAGATGGAAATCAAGTGGTCACATAAGGGATGTGATGATAACAGAATCACAAAACAAGTTCAATGGCTTATCCCAACTCGGAATATAAATTGGGAGATTGCGAAAGTTAGATTTGTCACTAGAGTATAATAACTACATTGCGAAAGTTAGATTTGTCACTAGAGTATAATAACTACATGCATATCTTGTATGCACAATACGTAAATACCAAAGGTCAGTTGGGTTTGTAGTTAAACGCCGCACTCAGCAATATTCAAGCTATATGACGGCGGTCTGTAAATTATCGAGTCTAGACTAGACAATCCAGTGATTAATATCATGAGCATCGATCCACGCAAAGGTCAGAACAATCAAACCTGGTTATTTAATTATGATAAACTAACATTATTTGCTCACACATTTAATTTTATTTACGCACAGTGTGTTGTTTTGGCGACAATGAACTGATCATTCTGAACATACTGCGCTGTTAAATATCTTGAGAAAACCACAAAGATTACTTATCTGACCCTTGTATACAGCTCAATAGACAATATGGGAAATATGTCAGGTGATGTGAGCGACTGAGTATAATAACCTGACCCTGGTATCATACCACACAGGGCAAAATACGGAAAATCTTGAAAGATTGATTTGTGTACGTAAAACATATCATAATACAGGTAGGTAAGTCATCAGTTATAACAAACATTGTTTGTTGGCGCACGTGACCAGACATACAGTCAAAAGGTATGTCAAGGTGTGGGAAACTACTTGGAAAACGTGTAAAACGTGTTTGAATGTACAGGGTCTACTGTTATATCACAATGACACTGAGCATATGTGACACACAGAATGATCCATATGTTATAGCTGGTTTTTAATTAAATAACATAGGAATTGAAGTATATGTGTCTAATACAAATGCGTATATAATAATCAGTTTTGTAGGAGCACATGCAATGTACTTCATATTGTTATCAACGTTAACTGTGTGGCCACACTAATCAGGACGCGCCCTCCTTGTATGTACAACGTAGGTGTTCAACCAAGTTAGATCAGCTGTACTACAACAAGTGTCAAAGCACTACATAAGTAGATGCAAGTCCATAAATGTATACATATAGATTTGTACAAGACAAGAGACACAATGCAAGTTGATCATGTCACAAAGAATATTTAAAGATAGCATAATTATAGCAAGAATGTTATACAAACCTGTGTTTACATGTATCTATCAAACATAACAATTCTACCTGCAATCCATTCACAACGTAGCTTCATAGTACAAATTGTACATGCATGGAGAGTATTGCCATGGCCCGCGGCGCATTGATGGCGTGATAGTCCCATAAAACTCCTAATCAGTGCCATAAAACAATAAAACAGTTTTTGCAGAAATTTGCGGATATCAGCGGATTATTCGCGAATTCTTCGTGAATTATTTGCAACTTATCCGCGTTTTATTCGCAATTTTACTGCAGAACACGAAAACAATATCGCGAATATCACATGGTACATACAAACTAGTGGTCGATAGTGTGAGTGTTGTGTCCGGCGTATAGTAACCAACGTTATAGGAGATGCTCTGTAATATCACGTGGTACAGACAAACTAGTGGTCGATAGAGTGAGTGAGTGAGTGTTGTGTCCGGCGTATAGTAACCAACGTTATGGGATATGCTCTGTAATATCACGTGGTACAAACTACTGGTCGATAGTGTGAGTGAGTGAGTGTTGTGTCCGGCGTATAGTAACCAACGTTATAGGAGATGCTCTGTAATATCACGTGGTACAGACAAACTAGTGGTCGATAGAGTGAGTGAGTGAGTGTTGTGTCCGGCGTATAGTAACCAACGTTATAGGTGATGCTCTGTAATATCACGTGGTACAGACAAACTAGTGGTCGATAGAGTGAGTGAGTGAGTGTTGTGTCCGGCGTATAGTAACCAACGTTATGGGATATGCTCTGTAATATCACGTGGTACAAACAAACTAGTGGTCGATAGTGTGAGTGAGTGAGTGTTGTGTCCGGCGTATAGTAACCAACGTTATAGGAGATGCTCTGTAATATCACGTGGTACAGACAAACTAGTGGTCGATAGAGTGAGTGAGTGTTGTGTCCGGCGTATAGACACCAGCGTTATAGGAGATGCTTCGTAATATCACATGGTACAGACAAACTAGTGGTCGATAGTGTGAGTGAGTGTTGTGTCCGGCGTATAGTAACCAACCTTATATTGGATGATCTGTTATATCACATGGTACATACAAACCGGTGGTCGATAGAGTGGGTGAGTGTTATGTCCCGTATAGTAAACAACGTTATAGGAGATGCTCTGTAATATCACGTGGTACAGGCAAACTAGTGGTCGATAGTGTGAGTGAGTGTTGTGTCCGGCGTATAGTAACCAACTTAATAGTGGATGCTCTGTGATATCACATGGTACAGACAAACTAGTGGTTGATAGTGTGAGTGTGTTGTGTCCGGCGTATAGTAACCAACTTTATAGTGGATGCTCTGTAATATCACGTGGTCCAGACAAAATATCAAAATCTCAATTTTCATGCTTTTTCTGGTGAGTGGCTGGCTGCTTTCGCATTACATTGAAAGTATAGTGTAGGGTTAAATCTTAATTTCTCAAAATGTACAAATCGACTAGAATATTCTAACGTCTGACGTACGGCTTCTTGAATTACAGAATTAAGTTATGACATTTTGAGAAAGTGTATTAGATGAATGGCGTTAAGGTTTGGAACCATCATTGAGAGAGAGAGAGAGAGAGCCCTAAGTTATGTCGCTTGTGCTCATGTATGGTTATGTTTTTTAGCTTATTGATCAGATTATGATATAGACAATACGACTAAAGACGTTTCCAAGCAAGAAAAGTTTATTTTAAGGGTAAAAAATGGCTGGAAAGATTTTTCACCATATTTCTATTTTCACCCATTTTGCAGATTCATCCCGCTGGCTGCTCTGATGTAAAATCTAACCCTGGTTTCAGGACAAATTTATCATTGGACATGCTCAGCATAATATATAGCTATCATAGCTTTTGGAATCGTGTATATTATCTGAGTTGCAGATGCACTTTATATAAGATTATATAAAATATACCTATGTGTTCAGGAACAACCAAGGAATTATTATCTGGTATTCAATCCCAGGATTGTGACAGGCATAAGGGACGTAACTCTGCATAGCACAATGCGACACTTTACACACCTAGCCTACACCATCCTTCCAAGCAGCATTACCTGATCATCATTCAAGGTCGTTTCCACATATTTCCGAGTTAAAGCTTTGACTATGCAAATACTCAAAGAAAACAAACCAAATTAGTTATTTCAAGGTGGCGCTTTATTTACAGAAAATATATGAAATCTAACAAAATACCCCATCTTTTAAATGTAATGGCACATACATGCACAATCTGTAACAACCCATCCCAGTGCCTTACAAAACTATATACAGTGTACAACTGGCGATGACATGCTGCCGCAAGGGTGATGTCTGTACAAGTCAACATGAGAGGTATATGAGGAGTGGCAATGGTCCAATCACAGTTGTCTCCCTTAAAGAACATACATTTTAAAAATCAATAGTGTTAATATTATGTTATTACTGAAATGTTATTTCATTTTAGGTGACTGATTCAGTATATGCTAATACTCAAAGCCTGTTCCATGTTTGCGACACATTAAGGACTGAGGACAAACATTGCTTCCAAAGGCATGAAATTCTGAATGAGATGATACTGTTTGGCAATCATAAAATTTGATCACCAGTTGATACTTGATACGGGGAAGAAATAATATAAGGGTAGCATTATCCTTTAGGGCATTGTCATTTGGAGAAGCCCCAAGTCTGCCATTAACTGCCCGATGAAGGAGGGCAGTTGAACAGACTGATGTTACTGTTATTATAGCTAAAATGGATAGAATTTGTACCTGATCCAAAAAGGAGTACCAGTAAGACAACAAACTGCAGCATAAGTTTAGTGGCAGTATAAAAACCTCGCAACTGAGGTAATTGATTTACATATAGCAACGTCTTAGAACATAATATTTGATGATGTCACAGACAAGAAACGTGGCACCAATTACGTCACATAATAGTAGCACAGGTAGAAGCGAGTCATTGGGGGCATGTGGGCTGCTATCAGGTTACAGTAGCCCACAGATTTCCAATAACATGCAGGCATTTTTATCATAATACTATTCATTTTAGCTATAAGTAGTAATAACCAAGTATCAAAACTGGAAACAATACACCTGCAACAAAAAGTCCTTGAGAAGTTTTATATTGGCACTTTTCAAAGTTTCAGTAACAGGCCAGGGTTGTCTGAATTGGTCACTATCACATAGGATGGTCTTGCATTTGATCAATGATTTCTACATGTATACATAACATTTCTATTTGACAGTGCGTGGATCTCTGCAATGGGGTTGGACACGATTAGCGACTGAAAAGACACCATTCTGGCTGGGAAGCATGTAGAAACGAACACTACACTACCAATAAATGGGATTCCAATTCTATTGACAACAGAATAGTAATAAATAACACCACAGATTTACAATACTGCTGTGCACATGTGTTAAGGTATTTGATTAATGACCTGCCTCGTAAAGCACAGTCATGATTCTCAGGCACTTTATGTCATTATGTCCCTGGAACACTGTTCCATCCTTCCCTCACCCTCAACCACAGAAACCTTCACCACTGTCCTGGAGAAAGAGAAGCCACTACATTTGTTACTTGTGTGCATGTACAACTTGAGCATTCATATTACACTAGGACCACTTAACACAATTAAACAAAGCTTTGTCTCCAAACAAGCAAATATTCTGTAACCTGTTTGCCGACTAGATTTCAGTTCAACAGCTTCTAGGTTCCAGCAATCCTTGGAGCTTTTACAATACTATCATCATATGTTTTATAGTTGATGGAATCAGCATGTTATTCCATGTGTAACAAGACTAAAGGCGAGCAGGGCTTACTAATACCCCCGACACCTTTCTAAGGTCAAAGCATTAATAAAATCACATTTTTTCAGAAAACACACATATAAAAAAAAAAGACTTTGTACTGCACCTCTTTTATTATAATGGAAACTGTTCCCTAAATTTGTAAAGAATATATTTAGTAGTTTTCTAGTTATAGGTCGCACAAATGTTTCAGTAAACAAATTCTTAGTTAAAAAATAATAATGAAATATAGCTGTATTTTATCAGAAAATCCAAATATTGAAAACAACTTCACACTGCACCTCTTCTCTTGGTACAGAAACTATACCCCTAATTGGAAAGAATCCATAAAGTACTTTTTAAGTTATCGGTCGCACAAATGTTGGCGTAAATTCTTTTTCAAATTTCACAATATGAAAAACATCACATTCTTTCAGAAAATACACATATCAAAATCAAATTTTGCACTGCACCGCTTTGATTAGTATGGAAACTGTTCTCTAAATTTGACAAGAATCAAAGAAGTCGTGTTCAAGTTATAGGTCAACAAAAAAAACCTGCCAAACAATGACAAAATGCTGTATTTATTTTCTTTAGAAAATTCAAATACTAAATCAACTCTCTCCCATAGGTAAAGAAATTGTTTACCAAATTTGAAAAGAATCTATTTGGTAGTTTTCAAGTTAAAGGATGCACACACAAAATGTCCTAAGAAGGATGGATGGACAGACGAACGGACAGTCAGAATTCCTTGGTATAACTATATACCCCCACCCATTTAGGTCGGGTGTATAATAATAGAACTTGCATGGTATTGTTATAGTTTTGTCTTTGACCTGACAGAAAGCTCACACATCATGATGCACAAACTGAGAAAGCTTTAAGATTGAAAGATAGGAATAGTAACAAAGCTTAAAAATACTCCCTTCACAACCCTCCCAACAGGTTCTGTGAGAACAAGTAACCATGTTGCGGATATATTCTCACTTGTTATTGTATGTGGTCTCTCAAAAACCAGTTGTTGGTACTCTTTCTTCTAAACTAAAGACTCCTGGTAACAACCACCTGTTGAGTAAATACGAATTGTAACACTACACTGTAAACCTGTACATGTGTGTGACATATGGGTCAACAAGTCACCATTATACACATCATTGAGGGCAACTAGCCACGCTCCCTGAAATAGTCCAGGCTGACACTAGGAGAAAGCACCTGTGCAGCCCACCCTTTCCATTGAAGTCAACACCAGAGTAACAGTGTACGTCAAGTCTGCAACTACAGGCTTAGTAGTAAAGATCAGCTCAGCAGAGATGAACCAATAATAAATACATGTTTACAGCAATGTACAGCAACCTAACAAAGAGTTCCAACAGGGTTACAAGCACCTGCACCATTTCCTTTACCAGAGAACTCTGGCAAATTACTAGGGAATAGAATCAGTAAGGCTGTCAGTCCTTATTCCACAAAGTGATCCGAGCAGTAAGACATCTGAACTTTTATCTATGAATTACAATCGTCATACCACTTGTACCATTGTCAAAATGCCAGGGACGCATCTAACAAAAGAATACAACAGTAAAGTGCATACCATGTTTGCTAACATTAAATATTAGTGTTTGTTGAAGAGATGGTTTTTCATAATCAGCACAAGTAGGATACATTTGTATGATGAAACATCTTGAACCAGTACAACCTTACATTACGTATATCTATGCCACCTTAGGCTATATATTGCACTGACAGGGCATGTACATGTTTGTGCTCACACTATCTGTTCCTCTGATAACACTGTCTACAGTTTCTTGGTTTGCAAATTATCTGATGTAAAATATAACCATGGAGCCAGCATAACTGGATAAGTATCTCAGTTAGATACAGGTACAGCCAAAGGAGTGAGAATAAAACATCTCCACAACACATAGGTAAATTTAAATCACCTTAAACATTCTTACATAACAGTGTTGAGTTCTACTGCTTTACTAAAACAAGCAGATTGAGGTAAATGGCAATCCTTTATCAACTAGAAAATATGAAATCTCTTACTTCATGTCAAAGTTAATTTCAAATTTGTTTTGTTAAAAAAACATGTTCATAATTCCATAATTAATAACACACATGGCAACTTTATCCATATATTCTCAACAATAATCAAAATATATCTGACACTGCATTGAAAAGTCTTCATATCAATGTAATTGAATAAATAAATGTCACTGCTGGGGAATCTATGTGAAATGATGAAGTAATGTCATCCCCCTGGGTCACAAGCACTGTCTAGTGATCGAGAACTGTATGCCCTTGCTGTACTTGTTAGAAACTGATCAGTCAATGATGAAAACAATACACACTGGAGTAGCACATCTTTCCATATCGTGTCTGACTTCACTCAAAATTATGAAAATAATTAAAAAACAAATCTTCATTACCAAGAAACAAAATTGTATACACCTAAGTATTTACATCTGTAGAAAAACACAAATATGTACAAAACCTGTAAAGTTGTAACTAGCAACATTTCAAACTGAACAAGAATAAAATCAATGTCTCAGTACAAATAATGGAAGAAACAAATGCAGAATTAAAGCTAAAAGAAATAAGCATGTATACAAGGAGCACATCATAAACTTCTCTATATATTTCCTATTCTTAGTGTGGGCTCCGCCATAATGAGCATCCCCACTCAAAGATTGTAACACATCCTCAGTAACAGAGTACTCTCTTGAAACTCCACAACGCCACTCTTTGAAATCAATCAGAGAACATGGACATGAGATCATCAACAGCTGCGAAAGAACTAATATCTTTCAGGGTAAATACTGTATTTGATTAACAAAATATTGCTGCTTATGAAATTTGCATGGGGGAATTGCAATGCAGAGCTTGTCTGCCACATACAAAGACTGGTAGTCTTGTGTGATGTACAATGAATGAACCATGCTGGCCAGCAATGGATGGTTAAGTGTATATCCTCGTCTGTACTCTATCAAGTCTTGGTAAATTGGATCCTGTTATAGGTGGGAGAAGGTCTATTATTTCCAAAATAAATAAATTAGTTCCTAACACTGGTCTTTTATCTTCATGCTCACCTATGTGTCAATTCTGATATGATTGGAAACTGATTCAATGTTCATGACAGCTTTAACACTGGAAATTTGTACAAAACTAATTATTGCCTCTCTTATTGACGTCTTGATTGTAATATTAGATATTAAAATATTTTGAAAATGTTTAGTTTCAACCTTTGTACCTCGTTATTAAAAGGCAATCAGTCCAACGTTGGCAAGGCTTTGGAAGGCAAGAGGTATTATATAAAGTTGATGCTAAGTTTCTAAAAGGAAAAATAAAGTTACAAGAGCACACACTTGTATGAAATGAACTACAGGAAATATATTATAATGCTTAAAAAAATAATGAAAATATTCATAAAAATGTAGAGTTGAAGAGTTACATAGTTTCCAAGAAAAACAAAACTACTGACACTTATGATGACTTGCATTTTAACTGTCCTAAATATTCGAAAAAATGACAATTGATGAAATGTGGTCAGATGAGTGTTGATTAACCTGGACACAACCCAGAGACAGTGAAGGATTTAGGAAAGTCAGGTGAACAAATCCATTCCATACTAAATCTTCCCCATCGTGTGGATGTCCTATGTTGCTTGACAACCCCTGGGTGGAAGGACATCCTCAAGCCTCCTAAACACTCACTTTGCAACTTTATAATATTCAAAACTCATTTTCATACTCTCATCAGGAATGATAATGACTAGATGATTCTGAAACTTGTCAATTTAATAACACGCAGAGCTCAAATAGTTCTTACGAACAATTTTGGTCAGAATTTGTTTAAATTGTTTCTGAAATGATATACCTTTGTAAATACATAATATATGTCATCTATACCAATTAAACTTAAAATATTTCATCATGAGATCCCATATGTATCTTACATCCTAGCCTAATATCATAGTTCAAGATGACAACAATAATCTTCACTTTGATCTGAAGAAATTAGATACGAATAAAGCCTTGGCACCTTGGGTTATTGCCATTAGTGTGCTACCGGTTGTTTCTGGCAACAACTATGACTGTGTGACTCTATGATGTCCCTATCTTACTATTTCATCTCTGAATACAAAAACCTCTTTTAGAAACATTCAACCACAGGTAACAGTTGCTGGCATTCCTTAATGTCCATCGTGGTAAGAGGTATCAGGATATGGGAAAATTACACAATTTACCAGAAACCACCAATTATTCCGAACTGGCCAAGCCAGACTGTTTTCTCTCTTGCTATATATGACACTGTTTTCTCTCTTGCTATCTATGACCAGACTTCACACAGACAGAGGAGTATACAGTTACATACGTTTCTATAGGAATCATGAGTATGGAAAGAATATATAACCAGATCTTGACACATAACAGTAACACCAAGTTGACTTGTGTTCTCACTGTACATATTTACAGTAATTATGAACTTATTTCTCTGTACAAATGGTGAAAATGATGTAGAGTTGAGCACTGGCAGGATATCAAATATGAGGTACTGGCACGACTATAGCAGCACAAGGCTAGAATATCATCTTGTGGATTTTTAAGATTTTCCCCAGTCGCTGTTTTGCTGTAGCTTGACCTTTCTTGGGCTTTTTGGCTGAAAGGATAAAAGATTTTATCAGTTTCGAGGACATTTCAAGCATTGTTAGACAATCAGGGTGTTCATTATTATTATGTCCTTGTGGTAGTGCCTCCATGGTCTAGTGGATAGAGCATCTGCCTGAAGAGTGAAAGGTCACTGGTTCGATCCTATGGTCGCAACATATCAAAAGACGTGAAAAGATAGCACTTGTTTGTCCCTGCCTGGCACTCAGGGATAAAACAAGGACTGGTCACCTCAGAGTACACTGTGTCTAAAGGGGGTATTTATGTTGAACTGCAGAATGGTAATTCAATGGGCTAGCACTATACAACTGAATTGAGTCTGGACCAGTACACGCATGCATGCACGCGCACACGCACATCACTATATAAGTGCAATAATCTTGAACGCGACGTTAAAACCCATTTCACTACACATCACCACAAACAAAACACTAAGAAAATAACACTATCACCTTTACTCCATAAACTGCTGCAAGATTATGTTACAAAGTATTTTTGTGCAGTATTAAACAATTTCAAAAATTAGACCAGGCAATAACATTATGACAACATCTTGGGTCAAACTGACTATTAATGAGGTAAGTTCAAAAGCATACAAAGATCTAGATTCAAAGAAAGCTTTTTTTCAACACATTTATTTAATACTGTAGTTTCCAGTTATAATGACAGATGCCATCAAGCAAAGTATCTACCCTCATTGTGTGATCTACCTTTTGTTGGACTGTCTGGTGGGTTTGCTGTTTCAGTTGAAGGCCGTCTAATACCTGGTCGGAAAGCATTTCCTGACAAACAGAAAGCATTCATGAATAAAATGTCTGTGTGCAGACTTTAGTGAGTGAGTATGATTTCAAACTGCTTTTAGCAATATTCCAGTAATATCAGGGGACACCAGTAAAGGGTTTCAAACATTTGTACCCACGTGGAATGGGTTTCAAACATTTTTACCCACGTGGAATGGGTTTCAAACATTTTTACCCATGTGAAATTGATTTCAAACATTTGTACCCATGTGGAAAATCAAACCCGAGCCTTCAACGTTATGATGGATCACTTCAACCACTATGCCCATATAGAGTTCAAGATGTGGTAAGCCTTCTTAGATAAAAAGACAATCACTGCACAGGGGTGGAAATTTGCCATTTCCCGACTCCCGGGGCAAGTAGAAATACGAGGTCGGGCAACAAAATCACTTACTTTAACTTGTCCGGAGGCAAGTAATATTGGAAATTACTATCACTGTCTACATGTCTAACTACTGGTAAAATGGTACAATAAATTAGCTGAGAGAAAGTTTGTAATCGCGTTTTCGTAACATTGCCTGTTTTTTTCCGTAGTTATAACAAGCGATTTCATTGGATTAAAATTGATTTCTAATGACGCTTTCTTGCCGAAATCTGCTACAAGTTTCGCGATTGGTCAATTTTGAGCACGTGACCTCAGGCAGCCAATCAAATTACAGCCGTGATACCAAGCTCGTGTTTGATCAATTTCAGAAGTTGGCAAAAGATTTTTGTTAAATCATGTTATTCTGAACGTTTTAAATAGGAAATCACGATATATATTAAAAATATGGAACTTTGTGAATGTATCGTGCTAGGTTACGAGCTGTGACAAAGATTTTTCATGCATATATTTTTGCATTAAACATCGTGTCCGAGCCGAGAATTCAAGGCGACGAAAGCCGAGATGTCATTTGACTTACATTACACGCGATCGCACGAAAAGATGGAAATAATAACTTAGATGTAAGTTTGATTACTTTTAGATATATTTTATTTTATTTATTACTTTGTATGATATATTTAAAGATTTGTTTAAAACGTCTTTATTTTGCTCTTTGACATGTTCGATGTGGACCCGTTGTCGAAATGTGTGTCCGAGAATTTTATTTTCAATAACATCGCGGGAAATAGTGAATAATTTTTTAATTTATAGATAAAAAATGATAAATTGAAATGGAATACGTATTTCAGACATTGTGAAATGTGATAGATTTGAAAAATGAATTATACTACAGGTAGGTCCATAAAAATATATACTATTTTGACGTGACTACGGCTTGGCCGGAAAACCGGCCTACGGTGTCTGGGGGACTCGATGCTTCTTGGCCGGAAAACCGGCCTACGGTGTTGAAAGAGATAAACACATATTGATGATTTGAAGTTTTATTTTGAAATTATTTGGGCAAGTGAAAATGAAATCAGGGCAAGTGAAAATTGTCTTTAAACTTGTCCGATGGCAAGTGAAGTTTTTTTTAAAATTTCCACCCCTGACTGCAGACACTGGGCATCACATATTGTTGGGAATACACCTGAAACTTTGTGACTTTCAAGTGAACACATTTACCAGATAGGCTCATACTAGACCGAGACATCTTGGTTTATGTATGTCTAATTCTTCCTTAAAGAAGACAAATGTCTTGCATATTCCTTCCGAAACTCCACACAATTTATGCCTTTTCGGTCTTCATGTTATCGTTTATACAAAACCTATCAAAATGTGTAAAATGGTTTTCATTCAAGTATGTAAGAGATACCTAAATAACATGATAACAAAATGTTGTACCTGTCGGCTCTGTTGAGGAACCAGCTTGTGGGACAATCCAACTAGGCTCTCTCTTCTCAACCTTGGGTTTTGCCTTTTGCTTCACCTTTTTCTGTGGCTGTGAAACATATGACATACAATTATGAAAGAGATGTGTATTACATTCCTGAAATCTGTAAATACAATATCCTATTGCTCATATACAGTACAGAGAGTGGCAACAAACTCACCCACCCAGACACCCACACGTTTAGATTCAGTTATTTCAAATATTTTCTGTATAAATATACTGCAGACAAAAGTAATACCAAATATGAAACAACTAATCACATTTCCACAATGTTTCTAAATCTGCAAGAATGAATGTACTATTGTAGTAGTACTAGTACATTGTTGCAATACAGAACAGTTCACTTTACAGCACACAAAGTTTCACAAATTGTTTCACAAATAAACAATATGATTTGAACATAATAGTAGGTTCATTTCTCTTGAACAAATTCAGGTTTCAGCATGGGTTGGAACAAGCATGAGAAGTTTCAGCTTCATTGGTCCAGTGGCTTCAGAGAAGATGTTTACAAACAATAACAACAGCGACAACAAGAGACAAGCAGGCCATGAAATAAGCTCACATGACTAGCAGTAAGGTGAGTAAGATGAGCTAAAAATGTCAACTCACCACAACTGGGGACTCCGAGAGCTTTGCTGCTGTCTGTGCTAACCCTGACTCTACAGATTTCTTCATGACATCTATCCGATGTGGCCGCTCAATCTTTGGTGTGCCTACATTTACCCGTGCTGAAACACACACGTGACATCATTATGTTCAATAATTTTACAAACCTGTAGAGGTTATGAATTCTCTGATGAAATCCTCCTTGGGGCACTTATTGCATTTTCCTGGCTCAAGAAAATCTACATGACATAGTTGTAACCATTTTCCTTAATAAAAATTGTTGCCACACAAAAAACTTCGTTTTTGTATGATATACGTCCACCCTTATGGTGCCTCACCCTCCACGGCGCGTCACGCCAAGGGAAGCAACTCTCACCCAAATCACTTTCCATACGTCTAATGCTGACGGAATGTGGGGAGGCGGGTGGCCGTGCCCCAAGGAGGATTTCATCAGAGAATTCATAACCTCTACAGGTTTGTAAAATTCTCTTTCAGATTAAATCCTCCTTGGGGCACTTATTGCATCAAGATAGACTCCTAAAGATAATCTAGGAAGTGGCATCCGTCAGCAACAAGCGTGCATAAATACACCGTATTTTGATTATTTCAATGAATAAACAAGAGCTCAATAAATGGAACCAACCTTATCGTGAGGCACCACCGGCGAAAGGCGGGGGCTGGAGACAGGGCGTTATCAACCATACACAATGAAAAGAGCCATTCTTTGTGGCTTATCATATCGAGAACTCGAGACACCCCACCCACCCCCCCCACCCCACTTCTCTGAACAAGTGATATCGGGGCACAGATCACGAGAGACTATAAACCCGCGCAGAGCTAGGCCAGAGGGTCCCTGTGAATCGAAGGAGTGCATGTGCAAATACGATGATTATCGAGTAGTAATGGCTGGTATTGTTATCGACCGTAGAAGATATAATCCGGACCGTCACTGAGCAGTGTTATAACCAGTCCGGGCAGTCTAAAATCTCGAAGGCTCAATCGGCTAGAGATGCAGAACTTTGCCCAGTTTGGAGAACTGACTGACCAAACTGAGCACGCTCGCTTGAGTGTTTGTCGAGTTGGTAATGTTTGATGAACGTGCTCGGCTGGCTCCAAATAGCCGCGGAGCAGATCTCAATGGGCAGAGCCGCGGTGTACGCTTGTGTCGTAGCCACTGCTCTAACTGAATGAGCCTTCAACTTGGTAGGGGGGTCCCTGCCTTGAAGTGTGTACGCCGTACATATAGTAGAGACTATCCACCTGGAGATAGTTTGTTTGCAGGTGAGCCAGCCTTCCTACCGCCATAACAGCAAAATAGTTGATTATCCTTACGGATACCCTTAGTTCTGCTGATATAGGACTTGAGGGTCCTGCGGACATCCAAGACTGGATCGTACTGAACGTTTGTCGAATCCCTCCGCGAAGCCAGTATTGTGTCTGCAACTCGTGCAGGAATACCGCTCTTCTGGAGGCGATTCCGGACAGTGGCCAAGCCACCCACTGAATCCCAGGATTCAGGTGGAGGGCCTCGTTCTGGGATAGGAGGTCCGGTCGTAAAGGTAATAGAACAGGAGGCTGAGCCAGAAACCTGACTATTACTGGAAACCAACTCTGCGCCGACCAAAGGGGTGCCAGGAGCACAAGTAGTCGCGCAGGCTGAGTGGCTAGCTGAGACAGGACCTTGGAAATCAGAGGTAATGGGGGGAATGCCCACAGAATTCTGTCCGTCCAATCTAGCTGGAAGGCGTCCGGTGCCACCGACCTCGGGGGCAGAACATTGGTGTCTGGTGATTCACCCCAGACGCAAACAGATCCACCTGAAACGACCCGTATAACTGGGAGATAATCCCGAATATCCCCGGGTCAAGCCTCCACTCGTGAGGAGCGAGGATCCGGCGAGACAGAGAATCCGCACGGACGTTGTCTACCCCCGGGAGATAAACAGGAAGCATCCTGATAACGTGTGAGTCGCACCATAGGAGGAACTGCCACATCTCTTGGAGAAGCGAGGGAGACACCGTTCTGTACCATACATACAGTTTGGTCTGCCATGGTTCTTGTACGAACGATTATCTTGTACTTTTTTTAGTCTTAAAAAAACCAGCACATCTGTCTTTGTTAGATGACATAAGGAAAGTGATTTGGGTGAGAGTTGCTTCCCTTGGCGTGACGCGCCGTGGAGGGTGAGGCACCATAAGGGTGGACGTATATCATACAAAAATGAAGGTTTTTGTGTTGTAACAATTTTTATTAAGGAAAATGGTTACAACTATGTCATGTAGATTTTCTTGAGCCAGGAAAATGCAATAAGTGCCCCAAGGAGGATTTAATCTGAAAGAGAATAGATCTCCACATACGAATAATCAATTAGTTATTACCTAGTAGTAAGAAAAACAAATACGATGAGTACCGGTGGTTGCCCACAGATCTTGTAATGGTTCAGTAGTTTACAAGCACAATAACTTACCCTACTTACACTTAATGAGAAGTTGATAACTGCCTGATGAACAAACCTTTAGGATTCCATGTGTCATCTCTTTCTTGTTTTTTCAATCTGTTAGGAGCTGTGATATCTTCTTCATCTGATAAATCTAATGTTGGATACACTGAAAACAGAGTTTAAATAACTTAACACCAACATCACTTTTTACTACCTAACATGCCCACAGTGACACACTTTATCAACACTGAACACAAAAATTAGAAAAAAGTGGATATCTACAAATGATTTAGTATATCCTGTTATGGGTTTTTGGACACTTAAGAAACATTCATAGTTTTTCGCTAATCACAAGAACAACTGTTAAACATAACTTACATTTATAAGACAACTTTATCTTATAAACAAGCCATAATCTGAGTAATTACAATGTCTGTGTGATGCCACACCCCTCGCTGTAGAGCAAGTAATCACAATAAACATGGCCATCCAAAAACGTATGATGTCCAAAAACATATGATCCAACGATACTTAAACACAATGAAAATGCATGTTTGATTTTTTGGTAATATTTGGCAAAATGAATACAAAAATCAAATTATGTTGTTCTGGGTATTTAGGTATGAGACAACATCAAAAACAGCAATGTAGTCATTCAGGTTTGAATCTTATTTGATGTGTTTGGAGATGGACTTGCACACAAAGACTTCCTGATTTTGGTTTTAAGTTGATAATACGTTTTCAAAGTGTTGCAGTATACATGTATAAGAGGCATAGCATGTCAATACGTTATACATGAACACAAATGTACCACACATGTATAGTTAGTACACAACTGTAAGACTCCAACTTGCACTCTCCTCACCATATTCATCATCCCTGTAGTATTCAGACATCATTTTCTCCTCCTCATCGCTGTCTACTGACCCCCGTCCATGCTGCTGCCGCCGGACTGATCCCGCCCCCTGCCGCCCCGGGAACAGCGAGTCTACTCCTCCCATCCGACTCATGGACAGCATGCCCTGGATTGCATCCCTCATGCTGGGAGAGGGGGCCCCACTAACAGGAACAACATATACATAGCAGTATAAAAATACAGCACAAGATAACTGGTTTACCTACTGCGCATTGTTGCATCAGCAGTAGGAAACTGTATGAATTCACCTGGCAGAAGCCAACAGTCTGAAACCATACCTTCTAGTCCCAAGTAATGAATTGAGCTTGTGGATGTCAACAAACACTGTAACCACAATGCACAATATCTATTCTAAAGAGCAGCTTCAATTGATCTTATAACGATCTTACAAAACAAACAGACTGCCACAAATCTTGTCACCCAAGCACAAAATGAATTAGTGTCGGGCCGCAGGCAAGAGGATTTTTCAAGCTCTTTCAGATTAAAATTTCTTCTGCTCACCCTATCTCATCATCAACCTTGAACTCTGTCTCTGTGCCGTACCCACTAGCCTCCAGAATATCTGCTATGCTGCCATTCAGTCCTCCTCGTATGGTCGGCAAGTTCAGCCTCAACGCCTGCTGTTCCTCTGTCTCAGTCTCGGGTATTAGGCCCTTGGCTAGTACAGACTTCAGACTGGCATTCTTATCTAGCTTCACTTCTTCTGATGGCTTCTCATCAGAGTCTGCTGATGTCTTGCCTAAAACTGACAAAGAGTATAGCTCATGAAAATCACACCATTATGAAGTCAGACGAAAAAAATGACTATCATGATCAGGGCCCACTTGCACAAAGCGATCTTAGCACTAAGATTATTGTAAGCCCCACGTTAAAGTATGGGAGATATTATCATCTTAGCTCTCGGATCACGTTGTGCAAGTGGGCCCTGGTCGTTTTGCAATAGCAGTCATTCCATATGCTTTAACGTAGCATATTTCACTGTATACACAAGTCTAGAAAATAAACATCCCCATGCACAGGATCAAAGATAAGTTTACAAAAGACAACATTATGTTTACTGTTTAAATAACTTTTCCCCTGTAATAATGGTTACACTGAGCTAAAGTAAGAGAGATGATGACGTACAGGAAAGAGTTGCTCTTCATAGCACTATTCACTCTCAGCAGCCATTGTGATCAACAGAATCCTACATGGGATCTTGAGCGAGAAACCAACTCACTTGACAGTTTGAGTTTCAGTGACCCTGGTTTGGTGGTGGAGGTTGAGAGTCCAGGCTGTCGTTTGGGTTTGGGGTTTTCATCCACCACCAACTGGTCTTCATCACTGTCCATCACACCGTCGTTCTCCTTCCTCTCCGTCACCTCCAGTTTCACCTTCTTCTCCACCTTTGCCTTCTTCTCCGACTTCTCATTCCTTGCTGCAATACTGGCGGACAGTCGCTGGAACTTCCCTGGTGTACTAGCTCCTTGAGCATCCCCCTTCTCACTGAAGTTAGATGGAGTAATACAAACTTTAAGAAACAAACAAAAATAGCTGTATCATATCCAAACATTTCATTTGAATACCTCAAGTGATTAAAAATATGTTTTGTGCCCCTTGACTCTAAGTATCATCTTCAGTATTTATTGATTTCATAATATGGACTATTGTTAGCTGAGCATACCAGGCCAAACAGCAGTTTATCAGACTTGGGCTTTGGACTTTAAACAGTCATAGACTGACAAAATGAACATCTTACTTCTGAAGTTCTAAAACAGTGTTGGTCTATTCTGATATTTATTTTGACAACACTTTAACATATTAATATCTTGAAAAGAAGCAGACTCGTTACCTGACTATTTTTCCATTAGAAACTTTCAACTTTAATGCTGTCAAGGGTTCCTTCTTGTCATCTAACGACCCACTCTTATCCATTGTAAGCAGACCAATATCCCCTAACAATGAGGAGGGCTTAATATCTCCAGCTACTGGTAAAAGAAGTTTTTCTTCGTCTTTCTCCTGGTCCTTTTGTTTCTCCTCTTCTTTCTCCTTTTGTTTCTCCTTGCCTTTCTCCTTATCTTTTTCTTTGTTTTTGCTGCCTTTTGTTTTTCCCTTCTTCCCATCAGTCTCCTTGCCCTCTGCTGCCTTCAGTGTGCTGTCGAAGTAGGCCCCTGCCTTGGGGATCCTCACCTTCAGGGTGGGTGGGGCTGGCTCATCCTCTTCCTGTAGACGTCCAACATAGGATTAAACATCCACAAGTACCCCCTCCCTCCCCAACACAAACCTGATAATAATAGATGTGTTTTATCTATCAATAGAAACTAGCTTCTAATTTTCTAGTAAGATAATGCTGGCTGTACATTTTGTCCTTCATGTTATGCCAAAAGCAAATATCTTGTTGAGAGAAAAGACTATCGGTAGACATATAATATAAACATTCTTGTTTCTCATCTCCAACTTAAATTTTTCACATCATATACTAACACACTATGAAAATGCATTGCAGAATTTGGGGAAAAAAATCAGCAGACTGACAGGAGACAAAGAACAGGTGAAGAAATTGGTACGTGGTAGTGAGTGAAGCCTGAAGGTATGCAACATTGCAGAAATGTTGTCTGAGTTTGAATCCTCATTCTCATACCTAGACATAAGCTTCCAGTCACTTGTTACTTATCAAGAGTCAAAATCCACTATGTGCTTCCAAAGTGTTTTAGTATACCTTCAGCATGTTAAGGGACAGGTCATTTATTATAGGGGTGGGTCACCCAAAGAAATAATGACAGTCTCTAGTGAAGGATAAAAAACAATAATATGCATATTTGAGGTGGGTCAATAAAAAATGGACACTCATTCCAAATTGTGACAAGCATTTTTATCAGTCCATTAGTGCATCAAACCACAGAGAGTTCAGACAACCAGCCATGAGCAATGCTTGGTCATGAAGCTGTGGATGACTGAGGGATGTTTTGGTACAGTACAGACCTGTTTACCAATGACCTGCCATACAAGTACCGGGGTAGTGATCAAGTCGACCTCATATACATTTCAAATGAACAAATGACTGCCCCTTCTTTCAGCCTTAAGATACAGCCAGTGAGACCTGCATTTTCACAGCTTAGCCTTAGTTGATATTGACAGACCAAGGCCATTTCATTTGGCCATTCAAAGCGTATGCTCGGAATATATTATCCCTAATGCAACAGGTTTATTTCTGTCATGTGCACTTGGTTCAAAGATGGCAGCACCCATGTTAAAACAGACATTGATCTATACCAATCTTGAAATTGATATAGATATTTTCTCTATCCATTTGTGCACAGAAAGTAACATCTTTCGTTCCAAATTAGAAGTAATTTTAATTCATCAGTTAAATCTGTATATATTTTTTACCTGGATTTGAAGTCCATTTGTTTTATTCAAAATCACTTGGAACTACTGAGAAACTATAGTAGTGAACAGGTCTGATAGGATAACACAAACAATGAGCCAGGTGACATTGTAACCACCAGATCCTCCTATCGCCATGGGCAGGATACTGACAACCAGCTCTAAGAATCCCCCACAAGCAGTAAGGAGTGCCCTACTCACATCAAAGTTGTAGATATTCTTGCTGTGCTGGGCCTGCACCTCCCTCAGCTTCTCCTGCGTGTGCTGATGCAGCAGGTTGATGTTCACCATCTGTTTGGGGGTTGGCATGTCCTTCTTCCGACGCTTGCGTTCAGGCTTCTTAGGACTCGGCTTCTACAAAAAAGGATATTAAGTTTTATTACTAAATCAACAACATCAAACCAGGAGAAGGCAAACCAGGGATAATGTACCAGTGTCAGTCCCACAATGTGTTATTGTTCACCCCCAGACTATTGGGGAACAGATAGAGGTCTGAACACCCGGCTTCGATTCCCGACATGGGTACAATGTATGAAGCTAATTTCTGTGTGCCCCACTATTATACTGCTTGAATCTTGCTAAAAGCAGTGTAAAATTCAACATTCACTCACTCACTCCCGACTAGGGAAGTCAGTGCTATTAGTGTGCACCTACCACCCCTACCCCCCACCCCCCTCCCAGTAGCATCCCCTCATATGGACCTCAAGGACACAATGTTCACAAGCTTACCTGGTTTTCAAACTGTTTCAATTCTTTGGCAATATCCTTCAGAATCTTTCCATACTGTATATACTCTGGTACTTCGTGCTTGGCTGTCTTCACAAACTGGAAATTGTCACATAAATGAAGGTTAGAATATAGTAAACAAAGACTTCTGGCATTGTATTGTGTGGGGAAGCAATTCCACTGCAGAAAATGTTCACAGACACAAACAGATAATTCCCCAAAAGAAGTAATTTTGATGGCTACTAATTCAATATGTTGTGCATCAGGATCAACAGGTTAGTAAATTTTGATAGAAACAATTGTACATGGAAATATGGTCATCAAAATGTCTGCTATTGCCTTCTTTCTCTGTCGATGTCTCAGATAAACATTTGGATATGGCCATTTTTAGTTCTTCAACAAAGAAACCTCCTGAACCATGTGAAACTCAAAGGCAGAACATATCAGTAACCTTCTGCACAATAAGTGCTACCTCGGAATAAAAATAAGTCAATTGAAAATTTGGACATAAATACTTTAAATATCAGTGATTGTGTTTCCTGCATAGTGCAAAAATGCTTGGCATGCTTGGTCAAAATACCAGGGTTAAGCCATAAACACTTGTATTTGTTAACTTGACATCAACCTATACCAATACTGCATGATACTTGGTTTTTCTTGCACATGATCAAATTCCCCTACTTTAATCAATTGATTTTCAAAATATCAAACATCCATCCATTTTATTGAAATAAGAAATATATATGTATTGCTAGTGAACCCAAGTTACATTTATTTCCATAATGACCACTGCCTGTTGCCCAATATCATGATTATGATCATAGCTGATGTACAACAGAAACAAAACTACCATAATAATAAACACACATTATATACTGTTCCAAGTACCTTGGAAATGCTAGGGCAGACATTGAACTCAAATACAATGTACTATAACACATGACACAGATACAATGCACTGATAGAGACAATGCCCACATGAGTGTAAATATGATTAGAAAGGTAAAATAAAACTAAAAGAAAGTCCAGGTAAAACCTCAAACAGAAATGATGCAACAATGGAATTAGTCAATGGAATGAATATCACCTTACCATGCTTATAATCCATAACTGAACATCTTTTGATTGGTCTTAATTTGAAAATACTTTGATATGCATTAACAATATAAAGATATTTGTTTGTTTGCTTGTTTGTTGTTTAACGCCGCACTCAGCAATATTCCAGCTATATAACAGCGGTCTGTAAATAATCAATTCTGGACCAGACAATCCAGTGATTGACATCATGAGCATCGATCCATTTATTTGGGATCGGTGACATGATCCCGTTTGTCGCCTCTTACGACAAGCATAGTCGCCTTTTACAGCAAGCATAGGTTGCTGAAGACCTATTCTACCCCGGATCTTCACGGGTCTAAAGATATTTGTAAATTAACTTCTACTTACATAAATAATTTAGCAGAAACAATTAAAATCATTAATAGCAAAATTTCCAAGGCAGGAATTAAAAAGTAAATCAATTTGTACCATGTATATATGAAAACCTGGCTGAAAGTAATAAACAATAGAATTATACTCTTTAAAATTAAATATTAAAAAAACCGTTCAAATATTTGTCTACAAAAGAAAAATCAAACATAAATATTCCTAATTTTTCATGGAAATATTTACAAATGATCTACATGATCTACACACTAGTGTACTTTTTCAATGAGCATGATACACATACAGGAACATTAAATGTGTTATATGGCTAGTGGTCACGATACACATGGATCTACTCTACCAGGGTGATCCCACACGGAGTTAGGCAGCCACCCAGCAGGCAGACTTTAGTGTTAGTGGCAAGAAAGCAAAATGGAGCAGCACAGATGTCACTTTAGTCAATCAATGGCTGACATGGTGTCAGTGTTAATGGTAGTCAGTTCTATCATGGTAGTCTGTTCATCGTTAATTAACATTTCATATTTCCTATATTTCTTTCTTTGAAGTGCTAGGAGTTCTTCAAAATGTAAACTGTGATGGGTAGTGTTCTGATTGCTCAATTCCTTTTTGTCAAAACTGTTATTATAAGTTTCTTTGAGAGGCATTTAGAAGTTGGAGTACTAAGTAAGGATAAGAATTTATGGATGAACAATTTGCTCTTCATGGTAATAAAGAAGTTGTTCATCCATAAATTCTTATCATTCATGTTCTTATAAGGCCTTTCATTATCTATAAGCTGGTTTACAAAAGTTTTGGCAAAACATTCAATGGAAGCGGTCAAAAATACAACACAATTACAGCTACCAACAGTTTCTGCAAATTAACCCAATTCATTTACAGTCACCTCACGCAAGAATAGGTTGCTGGAGACAAAGCCAGAATGTGGTTTTAAATTGAGAGGTTATTGAACTCAGTGTTGGTAGTCAATGATTTGACACTTGTTCAGCAGTTGCATCTTTGTAGACACCCCACAATCAGGGTTTCAAGAACCCAAAAGAAGTTGTTTCAGGATATATCACTCACTTTGTAAATGAAAGTGGTTTCGTCCTTAAAACAGCTATGAATAATATTGCTAACACCGTCCTTGAACATCTCATTCTGAGTTGGCATTAATATTCTTTTCTATAGTTTTGTATTTTTTCTTTAATGTTTTTATATCTCTGGTTTTGTTGTTTGTGTTTCCTTGTTTGTTTGTTGTTCAACCCAGCACTCAGCAATATTCCAGCTATATAACCATGGCAGTCTGTAAACATGGCAAATAAGACAGTCTGGACCAGACAATCCAGTGATTGACATCATGAGCATCGATCTACGTATTTGGTATTGATGGCATGCATTATCCAAGTCAGTGGTCCTGACCACCTGATCCTATTAGTCGCCTCTGATGACAAGCATGGGTTGGTGATGACCAATTTTAGGGTTTTGGAAACAAACTCATAAAATATATATGGCTTAACATGAAACTAACATTCAATGCCTTCCCAATTCTCAACTGAAGACACTGACAACTTTGCATACAGTTTGTATAGGCAACTTGCACAATATGTAACGAATTATGGAACAACGAGCTTTTTGAACCTCTTAGCTTTCATCAACTAACCTGACAGCAGAACAATGACAGGATTATGTCCTATTTCCCAACAACACAAGAATAATTCATGCATTATGTGCAATCAAAACCTGACCTACAGTTATGGACATAATGTAATGTGCATAGTTACATACCAGACACATGTGAAAAGCTTGTCAGAATGCTAACATGCAGACATAGTATCACTTCAACGTTAAACATTGCAAATCCTTGAAGTTGTCACATACAATAATTGTGCAGTTATATTTGTTGCATCAAGTTTGTAGTATTGAAGGCATTTGAAGATTTGTACAATATATTAATCTTGCCATAACGTACGGGAAAACCCAGGTAAATATACCCGGTACATCTCTCCAACCTACAGCATGCTCATCTTAACCACAATGCTTTGCTTTGTTAAATCATTACGTTTTGACATGCATTGATCAGAACAAATAGATCAACTGTAAATAGCATGGTTGTGCGCCATTCATTTCAGTGCAATAAATTCATTGCAGCATTGTCTGTGGCAAGTTTAGTAATGTACATTTTCAACATGCAGCAATGAGTTCAAATTGTGTAAATTACCAAGCATGGCTGATAATGACACAGCTAAGCAATGTACATGATTTCCTATTATGATCTCCCTACCCTGGGTACACAGTACACTAACCTATCAACCTATCAGGAATGTGAGATCTAAGTTGTCAAAAACATACTGTGGAATTCTTTGTTCTTTAATCACTGTTTAACTATGAATCAAGCATCCGAAAACAAGCCCAAATAGCTGATTCAGAAACAATACTAAATGTACCTCTACAATCGAACATGATCTAAATCTGCTAGAATTAGCAAAATAACAGACTATGTGCTGATACACCAGCCAGGTATTCTCAGTGTCTGTTTATTTAGCAAACTAAAGTTGCATATTCAACAGTAACCATTAAGCTGAAAAGGCATGGTGCACAATACTCCAGCATTATGAGTAAACACATTTGTATCAATCAATGGAAACTAAACACACAGACATCTGGGGAGCTTGCTGTCTGCACCGATTTGTCAGAAATCATTTCAAAGTACATGATTTATACTCATTTTTTTTAGTCTTACAGAAAACCACACACATTGCCATAACCGAATACAACCAAGTAAATAGGCTGTGTGTATTTTAAGTAGGGTGTTCATTGTCAACATGGTCGGTACCTGTTGTTGCTAGTAACTAAATTTCATTTAAACATGATACACATGATAGAAGCGATTTAAACATGATACACATGATAGAAGCGGCAAGCTCGGACAATTTAATTTTCTACTGGACTGAACATATTTTATTATTTTTAATCATCTTAGAATTTTAACATGCTTAACTTACATCAAAATCAAAAGTCAGTTTCAAGAAAATGGCTAGGATCAGCATGTTACAGAATCATGTTCATTACTATTGTTTACGAGTGGACACATGGTTGAAATACTGTAACTTCACTGTCTATTGTCACCAGATCATTCATGAGGCTAAACTAAGCATGTCACTCATTACCACTCAGTGAATAGGGACAGCATCAGTATTAGTAGACAAAGTGTCTGTGTAGATGGAGTGTCTGCATGTGTGCACTGCCTGTGTCTTAGGGTGGTGAGCTAAAAGCTGGCTACATGACACTAGTGCACTGACCACGATACAACACTGTAGCCTATGCAAGTCAGGCATGCTACATGAGATGATGATGAGGATGATGATGATAGTGATGATGGTAAATATGGAATGGGAGACAATCCACCACTCAGAAAATAGCTGAAATTAAAGCTTGTGTGAACGAGTAGCGATACATTCGGAGACCTTGCCATAAGAGGCAGACGTAAACAAGCCACTCACGAGGAAGGTGTTGTTCAACTGCAAGAGTGAAAACAGAAGTCATAACTAAAGGCTTCTCGTCTCTCTCAAATGACACACAACTTCAACTGTTACCAAGTAAAGGTCAAGGCATTGAAAACTTTCAAAACGATATTGCTAAAATATCCTTTGCATGAGGGCTGCAAACATATCTGTGTCTGTACCTGTTGTTGCTAACATGATCTAAACAACAATATCCAGTTCTTTGTATTTTGTTCATTGAAGGAAACATACACATGTTTTTCAATTACTTTAACATCAGTGCTCCAGATAATTTTTCAACCACATGAGTACAACAGTACTGGACATTATCTGACAAGTACCAGACATATTTTACCAAACCAATACCGTATTTTCTTGAGTAAAGTGAGCACCCATGTATAATGCGCACCCCCCTCTAGCGGGTTCAATATTTTGGAAAAAAAGAAATTTGAATATTATGCGCAGAGAAAAGGTGATGAGAAACTTCGTCAGTACAAATTCGAAATTTGAGATAAAAAATCGCCAGACATGTTGATTTACCGTTTAAATTGTATTTTTTGTTCAGCTAGGCATGGTTTTATATCCAGGGATTAAGATTACCTTGTGTATTTTCTCGTAAACTAAGCCGGACACAGCAATCAGCTGTAAGTAAGTAAGTACTGTACCGCAAGTTTGTCAACTTGACAAGTACTAGTATGATATTGCGCCACCATCATTCTCAGACCTAGTGTCATTAAATTTGAATTTGGGTTCCAAACTTACATAAACATAACCAAGACAAGAGAATTCGAGGTGTTATTATTAGCCAACCACAATGCATGATTTGGAGGAAATACATTTGCTGTTGACACGAAATGATACATTTCCCATTTAAGCTGAAGACAATGCCTGATACGGTAAACAGACGTTTAACAATGTTTTGAAGAACATTTTGGAGAATATTTATACAAGGTACAGTAACCATTCATCATTAGAGCATATAGTATTGTTTGCCCACGTAATTGATGGGTATATAATTTGCAATATATCTGTATTTGACTAGTTTTCATTCATACAATACACCGATAGGACACCTATCTGGAGCACTGAACATGTTTAATAACCAAAGCTAAGCATTCCTAATGCTAAGCAAGCCCTTACTACACAAAAAACATATCATTTTTTAAATCTGTTTAACACAACTCATCATGTATCATTGCATTATTTAGTAATGTTCATGACAATCAATCACTATTCGGTTCAACTCCTAGACACACATCTTCAAGTATAAATCTGTTGTAATCTCAAGAACACTTGAATGCTTCAACTGAAAGAATAAATAGCTCCTTATCATGTTAACACTACCAAACATACCCCCTACAATAGTTGGAATACAATCAATATGTGAAAAAACATACATCTTTCCTCTGTGTCCAGGACTTGAGATGTTGTGCAAGGGCTTTGGCTCCCTCCAAGAAGTATTTCCTCGGGATCGTCTGATCTTCAACACAATCTGCAACATAAACATTTTTAGTCAAACATGCATGCCTTGAATGATAGTTTGCTGAAGAGGAAAGTGTGTTTGTTTGTAGTTTGGCGCACTCAGTAATATTCCAGCTATATGATGGCAGTCTGTCAATAATATAGTCTGGACCAGATAATCCAGTGATTGTCATCATGATTAACGATCCACGCAATTTGGATACAATAACCTGCATCAACCAAGTCAGGAAGCCTTTACCAGATACTGTTAGTTGCCTCTTACGACAAGCATAGTTGCCTTTTACAGTAAGCATGTGTTGCTGAAGACCTATTCCAACCCGGATCTTCATGGGTTTGAAGTGGAAAGTACTTTTTCTGTCCTAAAACATATAAAACTGATGAACAAGCACACAAAAAATTCAAATCATACAACCTGCTTGACTGTTAACAGAAAATATTGAGTAAAGGAGATACATGAGAGAGAAACATGTTAACACACTCTGTTCACTTTTGTATTTAAATTTCCACACTATGACAAATATAGACACAACTATTTCTTACCTTTAAGTATATCTAAGAAGTGTTTAGCTGCGTACCAGCAAATTGTTTCATAAAAAGGGAATAGGTATTTTTCTGGTGTTTTCACCCGTCGCTCAATCTCATAAACTCTGGAAACAAAAGACAAACGAGATCAGAACATGAACTTCAACATGTTCAGTACACACATGTGCAAAACAACAAAAATATCAACACTTGCTACTTCACATTAAGGTTTGAATCAACCTAAATATGATACATCAAATACAGCCTAGTTTAAACAGTCACACTAACAGTTTGAAAACTCATTCTGAAACATTCTGAGTAAGTAGATACTTTAGGATAATGCTTAGCATTAACTTAGCGAGTATTTATCTGTTCACAGAAATTGAAAGTACTTCAGTTTGTATGTTTCCAAGTCTTTGAGTGATCCATATCAATACTGTTCAGTGGAATACATTAAGGCTAAAAAAAAAGATGGTCTTGGTTCTCAGGCACCACCCGCATCATCATAAAGTCTGCTGCACGTTTTGTTTTTATTTCCATTTTCAAAAAAATATAAAAATCCTAATACTTTTAACACAATGCACACAAAAAATTGAAAATTGACAAAAAAAATAAACATGCAATGAACTTTATGATGATGTGGGCAGTGCCTGAGAACCAAGACTATTTTTTTGTTTAGCCTAAAAGTTGGCAACTCAGAATAGAAGATGACTTGTTTTACATCATTGCGCATCAGATGATGACTAGTTTGAACTTACTGCAGCTGTAGAGGAGCATTGTAGCTGTGCAGGAAGTTGCCTCCAAACACCAGGGAGTCGATGGGGGTGAAGACTGCGTGAATCCAGCCAGTGGGGACAAAGAAAGTCTGCCCCGTCTTGATGACACACTTGTAGCAACTGTCCACTTGGTCACCGAAGAAGGTCTCACTCTGGTTGCTGGACGAGAGCCAGTTCTCATACAATGACACATTGGCACTGGTTGGTCGGATCAGGTAGAACACTTTCTCTCCCTGTTAATGTCCATCAATAACATATGTTCAGTTACAGATTATCATAAGCATTGTAAAAGGCATGTTGTGACTTTCTGGATCATTTCAACATGTTTATCATGTTTAACAGTGATCAAAATTAAGCATAAAAGCAAAGGCGTCCTTGTCATAACAAAAAGTGTCCCTACATTTAAATATCACTTAAGAAAACTTCAAGGACATCAGATCCTCTTTACTATGAACACTGTTTAGCATGCATGATATAATATTCTAATCGTTAAGAGAAAAGAAAGAAATATGTGTTTTCAAAGAATTATTTGTTTAATACGCTGCACTCCAGTCATATAAAGGCAGTCTGTATATAATCAAGTCTGGACCAGACAATCAAGTGATTGACATCATGAGCATTGAACTATGCAATTGGGATAAGATGACATGCATCAACCAAGTCTGACCACCTGATTCCATAAGTTGCCTCTTACGACAAACATGGGCTGCTGAAGATCAATTTAAACCCAGGATTCTATGAACACATTTCAAAATCTAAGAAATATAACATATCAGGCTTCACATCCAAAGTGCAAATGAGCACAACAGGATATTTCAACTGAGTTGCAGCATGTGAGCTGAAGGTAGGAGGAAAGCCCAAAGTGACACAAATAATAACGACCTAACACTTTCTTTAAACAACAAGTACAGTTTAGTATGATGCTGACAATCACTCCATAACGAGGATGAATCTAGAAACCCACAACTAGTACATCCTGGAGACAACACCACCAGTGCCCTTACACCTCCTATGCCAGGACTGAACTAGAAAGTGTTTTTACTCGTAAAAACATATGTCTCCCCCCACTCCCCTAACCCGCATTCATTCGTTTACTTCACGTTAAACCCCATCTCTTCATTCCCACCCTCAATTACTAAATAACAGAGACAAAAATAGAACTCCTAGAAATTTCAAACAACTAATGGGCACCACTTCAGTGCTGGGTTAATGTGTATACAAAGTTTCGCGAAAAAATATTAAACGGTTTCTGAGTTATGGTCAGGAAACAAAGCTTACCCCCATTCAGAGTCTATGTTCAAGTTATCTCCATGGAAACGAGAAAAAATAAAAATGTCAACAATCTCTAAATAGCAAAAGACACCACTTCAGTGCTGGGTTAATGTGTATACAAAGTTTCGCGAAAAAATATTAAATGGTTTCCGAGTTATGGTCCGGAAACCAAGCTCACCCCCATTCAGAGTCTATGTTCAAGTTATCTCCATGGAAACGAGAAAAAATAAAAATGTCAAAAATCTCTAAATAGCAAAAGGCACCACTTCAGTGCTGGGTTAATGTGTATACAAAGTTTCACGAAAAAATATTAAACGGTTTCTGAGTTATGGTCCGGAAACCAAGCTTATCCCCATTCAGAGCCTATGTTCAACTTATCTCCATGGAAACGAGAAAAAATAAAAATGTCAAAAATCTCTAAATAGCAAAAGGCACCACTTCAGTGCTGGGTTAATGTGTATACAAAGTTTCGCGAAAAAATATTAAACGGTTTCTGAGTTATGGTCCGGAAACCAAGCTCACCCCCATTCAGAGTCTATGTTCAAGTTATCTCCATGGAAACGAGAAAAAATAAAAATGTCAAAAATCTCTAAATAGCAAAAGGCACCACTTCAGTGCTGGGTTAATGTGTATACAATGTTTCGCGAAAAAATATTAAACGGTTTCTGAGTTATGGTCCGGAAACGGTGGGAACGCCGACGCCGACGCCGACGCCGACGCCGACGCCAACGCCAACGCCAATGCCGACGCCAACGCCGACGCCGACGGGAACCGTGCCAAAAACAATATGTCTCCCTCCATTCTGGGGGAGACATAATTCCCAAATGAAGACCATATCACAAAATCAAACCCTATATCTCGATCATGTTTACATTTTATATCACAATCAGAAAGACTGAACAAGTGTAAAATTTCCAATTCTTCATCAAATATATATTATTTAAAATTCTAGATTTCTGCAAAACCTAATGCTGAGTGTACCCACCCTGAGAACGTGGTACCACACTGAGGTTCCACCAAAGTCTATGTGAAAGTCTGTGAAGCTGTCCCGCACTCCCATGAGACAGTATTTCTGTACTTCTGGACGGTTGTAGGGGCTGTCATCAGGCAGCTGGTCTGGCCACACATTCTGCACCCAGCTCAATTCACGTACTATGGCAGGGGGGACTACAAACTCAGACAATCTGAAAACAAGGGAATGTCACATTATTTGGATAGTTCATTTATACTGCCTTCATTTTTATCTCATCATGATTAACAATTCCACCATGATGTTTTAGAATCATGCTTTCTGATTGGTCCACATGCAGTATCGAATCTACGTTAAACCATGATCTTGCTGAAAGATGCTTTACCATGAAAGAAAAAATGAATTTATTCATGAGCAATTCCTTCGCAAACCCGCCTGTTGTGCAATTTCAAACACTGATGTTACTTCGTCAAAGTTGCTAAATAATGTGCTGCAGTTCCTACATCAGTTGCATGTGTGGCAATATTGTTCAGGTAGAAAACTTGTAGTAGCCAAACAGATCTCCCAGAAAAGACAGTGAATTTGTGCTTTAAACCCATGTTTTAGTCTGTTTTCAGTCGTACAAATGGGTAGAATTCAACGGAACACTGGAAGGAGGGTCGGGAAAGTAATCAGGAAGTGAACTCTTTCACGCCGAATGTACCAAGTTCCTCACCCCTGTAGTGACAATAGAACATTCGACCAGATGCACGGACGAGACAAGTTGTTTATCACGAACGCACAGCATGGTTAATGCTCTTCGACACACAACTAATTATCGATGCGACAGGACAACTGCACGCGTCAGTTGAACTGCGATTGAAGTGTGGTCGGCGTATAGTTTAGTTACAGAGCAACTCGCCGTAGACAAGGTAACTAAAAATAGCATGGTTAATGCTCTTCGACACACAACTAATTATCGATACGACAGGACAACTGCACACGTCAGTTGAACTGCGATCGAAGTGTGGTCGGCGCATAATTTAGTTACAGAGCAACTCGCAGTATACAAGGTAACTAAAATATACGAGCAGTACTATAAAGTATGGGAAGACGATGCATACACCGAAGAACCATAATAAAAATGCCGAAGTACTGCACGCAACAAAAAAACCATAAGAATGCGTACATTCACCAACAGCTTTTATTGTAACATGTTATATGGCACGAAGTGTCGAGCAAAAAGTCCAAAGTGAATAAAGCACAAATTCACTGTCTTTTCTGGGAGATCTGTTGTGCTACCACGAGTGGACCAAACTGTTTGAGTCCTTCAACATCTTCTGTTGAGATATCTCTGAGATAATGCGAAGCAAACACTGAAGTAGAACTCCAAATGCAGCCCTCCATAATAGCTTGCAGCGAACAATTAATGTGGAGTACTAATGTTGAAGCTATGGCTCGAACTTCGTGCGGATGAGAGGAGGTGGGAAGTGCGAGTCCTTGCGCCTCGTAAGCTCTGAGAATGACCGCTCTCAACCAAAAGGAGAGAGTATTACGTGTAAATCTCTTTCTTTGCATTGGTTGAGAGCGGTATGAACAGCTGTCGAAAATGTTGTCGTCGCTGTTCAGATCGCTGCAGGTAAATACGAAGTGCACGAACTGGGCACAGGGTGAGATCAGCGTGATCATGAGGGCCTATAATGGCAGATAAGGAAGGAATGTGGAACATTCTCGAATCTTGGCCAGGAAGTAGGTTTTTCGCTAAAAAATCCCATCTGAGACCAAGATGGACGTTGCCATGGTTACGCTGATCGAACGTAATCCGACCGACGTCAATGGCATGTATTTCCGATACTCTCCCTGGCTACGGCAGGAAAGCCGTTTTCTGAGACAATAAGTCAAACGCGACCTGATCTAGAGGCTCGTAAGTCTGACTAGACAGGTTGAGCAGAACGACATCGAGGTGCCAGGCCGGTGGTCGGAATTTATGTGACTGATCTTCAACCATGAAGGCACGTAGAATCTTCTGCAACTCTGGTATTTTAGTGAGCTTGTCGCCCGTAGGAGACGGCACCACTGAAGCCAAAGGTGCCAGATAAGTTGAGATCGTCGACCCTTTCAGACGCCGAGATGACCGGAGATAGACTAGGAACTCCGCCACCTGTGGTGGGGTTGCTACTGCCGGGTTGAAGCCATGAGACCTGGCGAAAATTGAGAAAGTGGTCCACTTGTCATCGTACAGCTTACGAGTCGTAACTCGATGTGCCAACGAGACAAGGGCTGCCGCTTTAGCCGAATATCCTTTCTTCATTAACGAGGTCTTAAGCAAACCCAGGCGTGAAGCTGGAAGTTCTTTATCCCCACATGCAAGTCGTCGGTGTGAGTGTCAGCAGACGAAAGACTGTCGGATGGATCATCCACTCCGTGGGAGACGGCCTCGATGGTCTCAGGGTGTCGGCTATCACATTCTTGGCCCCCAGGATGTGACGGGCTCTTACGCCCATGTCCAAGTCGTCGACGAGGGCGAAGAACCTGGATGTCAAGTCCAGAAGGGCCCCCGACTGAGTCGTTCTCTGTTGGTTGATGCAGTGGACGACTATGGAGTTGTCCGACTGTATCATCAGCCGTTTCCAACGGAGTCGAAGTTTCCAGAACTCGACCGCCCGAATCACTGCTTCCATCTCGAGGCAGTTGATGTGGAGGACCTTTTCTTCTGGCGACCACAGCCCGGCCGCTTGGTCGTCCCCGAAGTGCATTCCCCAGCCTTCCAACGACGCGTCTACGAATAGGTGTAGTATGAACGGAGGCTCGCTCATGAAGACGTCTTCGCAAAAGTTCGACGGCTGGAGCCACCACTCCAGATGACAACGTAGCTGCGCCGGAAGTGGAACCAGGAGATTGGGAAACTCCAGGTGGGGGTACAGCAATCTCTGCAGCGGACGAAGTTGAAGACGACCTCGGCGAGTCAGGTCTTGGGCCGATGTCAACAGACCAAGGACTTCCTGCCACGTGTGCACCAACGCCGGGGCATGTAGAAGTCTCGGAACGCTGCTGACAATCTTGTCCCAACGGTCTTGAGGTACCTTGACCAGATTGACCCCCGTCTGGAAGCGTATCCAGATGTACTGTAGATCCCGAGTTGGTACCAAGTCCGACTTTTGAAGGTTGACGATCCACCCGAGGTACCGTAGTAAACTCAGGGTGGTCGCTAACTATCCTTGAAGGCTTCTGTGAACTGGTGAGCTTGGAGCCCATCGTCTAGGTAGAAGGCGACCCTGATCGCCTGCCGATGGAGACATTCTACGACCGTTACTTGGAAAAGGAGACCTGGCGACCATTCCTGTCCGAATCTCTCTTGCAGGACGACTGTCGAGGCATGTCCCTACGAAAGGCCGTTGCACATTCTCGTTTCTGTAACGTCCTCGTGGGGTGTTCGAAACCGGTGGCCGTCTGGACAGGTTGTGTGAAGCCGAAATGATGATGTCACGCTCGGCTTCCCCTTGAGAACTTGTCCAGAACCTCGTTGATATGACCGTCGGGGACCGTAAGAGTGTCCTGCCATGACGATCAGGTAGTTCAGTGCAGTCGATGTAACCATGGCGATGTGCCGTAGTAATCTGACCCGATACATATCGGGACTGGGCGAGGACGTCCGAGATCGACCGATGCATACAGGTGAGGACTGATGGGGATCTTTCTCCTCAAAGTACTCTCAAAGAGGGCCTTGATCGCTGTCGACAGCATAGCAAGCGGTTGTAGCTGGTGACGAACAGCAGTACTGCAGCCAGTACACTGCAGTTGTTGTTGCAACAGTTTTCATCAACAGAATAATTATGGCTTATAGACAGATGCTAATATGCTAATCACGACATACTTTGTATTTGAGAACTCCAGGCTGATGACATTGAAGATCTTCTGTCTGTTAGGGCTATTGTAGTATTCTGTCCACTCCCTCATCAGCATCTTGTAGTCTTCCTGTCGGGCAACATCTATCACATCGATTTCACGCATAGAACCTGCCAAATGAACAAAAGTGTTTTACCGGACAAGAAGTATTCAAAAACAAGACACACCTTGATACACAAATACTCAACCACCTGTCATTTCAACAAGGATAAGAAGCGATCATCCATCTTCCATGAGATAGCCTAGAGTCCACCAAAGCTAAAGTAAGTAAACATGAATCAATAAAACTAAGCCAATTAGACAAGATAAACTTCATCTTTAATAAGCTTAGAAAACATGGTAAAGACACCATGCGTGTACATGATGATTGTTTCTTTGCTTGTTGTTTAGCAATACTGCAGCTATAATGAGTTGGCCAGTAAGAAATCAAGTCTGGACCAGACAATCCAGTGATTGATATCATGAGCAACCATCCAGCGCGTTGAACAAAGACATGTTATGAACTAAGTCTGACCACCCTATATATTCAGTCACCTGGTACACCAAGTTGTTGGGACCAACTCTCGGAATCCCCACGACGTGACGTGACGTGACGTGACGTGACGTGACGTGACACAAGTAATGGGAAGACTACACATGAACTCACCAACATGGTTTTCTACATCTTGTATTGTGAAGTTGGATGGTGGCACTGTCAATGACAGGCCATCTTTCTTCTCAATCAGTATGGGTGTGTCGAAGCCATTCTTGTCCAGGTAATCCTTTGTCAACTGACTGCCATGGAGACGGAGGATCGGTATCTCATCAGCGCTGGAACAGACATACCATGATCATGATATTGTTTAGTATTGTGTGTAATGTGCTGATGTTGGACATACAGATCAATCTCAAGAAGTTTCCTTTTACCATAAAAACAGTGCAATACAGATCTATGTCTACGCTGATGTTGGGTATCTGGCATTTCTTGGTTAAGTAACAATTAACTGAATAAAAACCCACAATATAAAATGATTAATTTGTTTTTGGTGCTCGAAGTCTAATCAGAATTCTTGACTCCATTAACACATCCCGCCACACTACCTGGCAAAACATCCTGTAGATCAAGTAGATCAATTAACAAAAGTCACAAAAGTTGCTCCCAACAGCAGGATTGGCTGACCACTAACACTCAAGAAGAAAAGGGGGACAACTCTGTTATATTACCGACAGCAAATACTAATTTGGAAAAGACCGCCTCCGTGGTCTAGTGGTAGAGTCCCAGTCCAGTGAATGGTCTGGGGTTCAAACCCCGGCCTCATCATACCAAAAGATGTCAAAAGATGGTACTTGTTATTACCCTGCCTGGCACTCGGCATTAAGGAGCTAAAACAAGGACTGGTCAGCTCAAAGTTAGTATACTATGTCTGAATGGGGTATTCAGAATCATAAGTGCAATAATCTTGAACGTGACATTAAACCCAATTTCACTTCACCTCACTAACTCATTTGGACCACATTGAAAGCTATTTGGTGTATCTATTCAGCATGTTCAGAAAAGCAAATCAGGCATTTGTTTAACCTTGTAAAGTTGTATTTTATTCTACCTTGGAAACATCCTGTTCTTGAGTTCCTTGATGAAGACAACTGTGCCTGTCTGAACTGCCTGGAATTGAAAAATAACAATAAAAACATGATAAAGCTCAACGGATCAAGACGATAAAAAGATATCTATCATCATACATCAATTAGCATGATAAGTGATCGACATGATACAAGGTCTTACTGAAGAACTTAATCATATTAATCATGTTAATTAAAGAATGGAATAAATGAGAAAACCACGATTTTTAATATCAGAACATGGTGAATTTATGTCTGACATTATGTGAATGACATTATGTGATGAAAAGTGTCTGTTTCTATGCCATAAATATCAAATCATGTGACCGTGACAATACAATTTTCTTTGAAACATATTAATTTACATGACAGAAACACACTCGTCTAATATAGTTATAATCTCCATTTCTTAAGACTTTTAGTGTGCCAACTGTCCCCACCTTTCCTGTCTCTTCCTCCGAGTAGTCATGTCTGTGCCAGTTCTTCCTTCTCTTCACTGTAACACACACAATACAGCCTTCAACTATCTAACAAATAGCCATGTCATACAAACTACAGGAATTACACAACTTACTAAAGCAACCAACTAGGGTTGGGATGGGTAACTTGGGTTGGGTGGGTACTGAGTAATACCAACAGGACTACCTTGACCTGTTGTTAGTCACATGCTAATTGGTTAATGATAAAAAAATTGCTATAACTCCATGGTTACAATACAAGTCACTAATGTTCGCATTTCTTTCTGACTAAGCATGCATTCCTTCTGACTTTTCTATGTTTGAATAAAGGGAGAGCTTCAGTCAACTTCAGTGTATGCATGATCTGATTGTTTTATACATGTGTCTACATATTTTTGCATGGGTTCAGGTAAAAAAAAATCCCAATTAAACACTTTGTACCCAACTCTTGAAAGCTACAGTAGGTACTGGGTAGGGTCAGGATAATAGGGGTCTGGTACTCAGGTAGTAAATTTGAACTCATCCCAGACCCCATATCTACAATTAGCCATACAATATAAAATACTGGACTTACAGGACTTTTCCAGAAACCTAGCAATACCAGTACTATTATGATACAAAACACTTTCAAAATATTTTCTGGCATGTGAACATGGTGAATGAGAATATACATACACACAAGAGGTCCCTTCAAAAGTTGACAGTTGGGACAGTGGTATATTTCAATGTCAGATGCTTGATGTTCCAGTACCCCAACACAGCTGAAATAGACACACATGATGAGTGGAAAATAAGTTGTCATGCAGTAATAGGAATAAACACAGTTAACCATCTTAATATAAATAAAGAGAGACACTAGTTATCCACATCATTGATATTAATATTCGAACTGATGCCATTAACATGACCACAGGAAAAATAATCAACAGAATTTATACATAAATGATGAAATAAAACATGTAAAATGTCAATCTCTAGTAATTAGTGGTAAGCAATCGATTGAATATCGGGTAAACAATCAATCCAGACATTCAAAATAATTACCAGTATATCTCCTCTATAAATGGGCTTCACACAATTAATTCATGTGGGGAATCGAATCTGGAGCTAATGCTTTAACCCATAGGCTACCCCACTGCCCCTATGATTGTGAGTGAGTGAGTATGGTTATTATGCTACTTTTAGTAAATTCCAGCAATATCATAGCGGAAGACACCAGAAATGGGCTTTGCACAATTTTCTTATGTGGGGAATCAAACCTAGGTCTATGGCGTGTTATGAGCTAATGGTTTAACCACTAGGCTACCCCACCTCCCCTATGATTTTTAGTGGGTGAGTATGGTTATTATGCTACTTTTAGGAAATTCAGGCAATATCACAGCGGAAGACAAAAGAAATGAGCTTCGCACAATTTACCCATGTGGGGAATCGAACCTAGGTCTACTGCATGATGAGCTTTTGCTTTAACCAGTAGGCTACCCCACTGCCCCTATGATTTTTGGTGAGTGAGTGAGTATGGTAATTATGCTACTTTTAGTAAATTCCAGCAATATCATAGCGGAAGACACCAGAAATGGGCTTTGCACAATTTACCCATGTGGGGAATCGAACCTAGGTCTACGGCACGATGAGCTTTTGCTTTAACCAGTAGGCTACCCCACTGCCCCTATGGTTTTGAACACTGGCCCTTGAGACCACTTCACCACTTCAGATGCATTATGTGGCATAATTACTAAAACATGGGGATACAAGAATAATCAACTAATAATTGATTTGAGAGCCCTGATTATTGATTTAGATATTTAACTAGCACTACTGGTAAGCACATGGCAATACATGAAATATATTTTACACGTCCACATTACACATGATGTGCTGGACAGCTCTACCAATATGCAGTTGCATTGTTAACATGGTTAAGCATGTAGAGGAAATAATATTAACAGTAATCATGAAATATGGTAAAGGCTAAATTTCTTTTATTTCAACACATCTCATTTGTGAACAATGTAGAAACTTATATTTTCATTTTTTAGACATGCTAGAACGACCTCATATCTTATTAGAGTAAGTTTACCTCCAGACTATGTTAGTGAATGAGTGAAGTTGGCTTGACACCACACTGGGCATAATTCAACATGTGTAAGATTATACATCTGCACCTGCAACACTGACAAATACCATGATAATGTTTGCCTCTACTTGGGATTAAGCAGCATGTGAAATAAGCTCTCACTGGCTAGCTCTAATGGTTAGGTATGTGCTGTAATGCTCATTTGCAACTGTTTGAAACAAGGTTAACATGGCAACTGTTGCACAAAAGTGCACAGGGTATTCTAGAAGAAGACCCTGAATGAGCATTGTTTGTGTCAGTTTGCAATATTTTTCATCAAGTCAGTAAAGCATGATAAAGTACAACAGATTATTCAGAGATAGAAACTAACATTTTCAGTCCACTAGTCCTTATAATGACAACACATAGATAAACCCTTAAAATGGCAAATTTCTACATGTCCTTATGATAACTTTACTATTGCGCAGTTTGGCAAAGACTACAGTATGTACGGGACTAAGGGTGTGCAGTATTACCGACACACCAGTATATCATGTATATGGTGGTGCAAATCTTCAGCAATACATATTGCGATACGTTTGTGAATGTAGCAATATATCGGTGCAAATATAAATAAGTATATTTGTGTGTTCCTTATCGATATGGAAATGGAAAATAGTATCTTTCTGATACAACTTTCCGCTGACGATCTTGTTATCAATTAGCGTCTATACATTGCGACTATCAAGCTCCTCAATGTGATAGCCTGTCCACAGAGCTCTCTATACCGAAGAGCATAACAAAGGTATCAAGTGCCCTGAAGGAGCTTGATGGTATCTGACATTAATAGTAATAACAGGGTATAACTCTGATTAACTCATGAAAGTGTAGACCCGTGAAGATTCCGGGGTAGAATAGGTCTTCAGCAACCCATGCTTGCCGTCAAAGGTGACTATGCTTGTCGTAAAAGGGGACTAACGGGATCGGGTGGTCAGGCTCGCTGACTTGGTTAATGCATGTCATCGATCCCAATTGCGTGGATTGATGCTCATGATATTAATCACTGGATTGTCTGGTCCAGACTTGATTATTTACAGACCGCTGTCATATAGCCGGAATATTGCTGAGTGCAGCGTTAAACAACAAACCAAACCATGAAAGTGTAAATTGGCAATATATTGCAATATGTATCGCAATACAGGTTAAATATCATGAACATGATGAATATGGCCATATATTGCAATACAAAATCCAGGTCAATACACAGCCCTATACAGGACTAGTGCCAATTTTTATCACTGTAATCTGTTTAGTGCTGCACCAATGTCCTTCTTTAGGTTTCATTTTCTAACATTGGGACTTAAGCAGTTACTTGTTTCTGGGGATGGGTATTGGAGGTTTAAAGTGTATCAATATTTTGTGATGCATAAGGCCATATTGTGATATGTGAGTGAGTGAGTGAGTGAGTGAGTGAGTGAGTGAGGTTTTACGCAGCTTTTAGCAATATTCCAGCAATATCACGATGCGGGACACCAGAAATGGGCTTCACATATTGTACCCATGTCGGGAATCGAGCCGAGGTCTTCGGCGTGTATTGCGATATGTATCGCGATATATTGTATAATAAATTTTGATTTCAGCAGCAATCTGATAGATTAAAGGGCAAGTTCACACGGAAATGAACCAATTTTTCTTGTACTTTTTCCACATTAAAAGTGTTAACATAGAAGTGTCATAGACAAAAATATAAAAACATCAAATTTAATTAACATATTTTTGGCATTAAAACGATTTATATTTTTCACATTTACCAAGTGTTCTATTTCCATAACAAAAACACCATGGCCTATGCCCCTTGCAATATGACGTCATTGGTGCCAATTGATAAACATTATGACGTCATCATGCTTTGTTAGAGCCGCTTCACGTGGTGTAGGTACAGTTTTGTGATTCTAGCGTCTCAGATGCCAGCCAGAATTGTGTTATGCTGAGTCACCACTGCGCCGGAGTGTGTCGTAGACCATGTTGTTTTACCGCAAACTGGTCGTTGATATCTTTCGCGTTGAGAATAGACAGGGACCCAGTTGAATTGGCACGAATTACGTCATAATCTAAGGGGGATAACTCAGGCCTATTTCGCTCGTAAAACGAAGGCTTCATTTTAACACTATTGTGAGCTTCCTACTTTCACTGTGAAAAAAAATGAGTGTATATTTTCAAACACAGATACTAACTAATTCTAAAATTGCGTTTTGTTTAGAAAAAGAAAGAAAGTGATTTTTGCGTGTACACTTCCCCTTTAAGGTATGAAGTGAAGTTCATAAATGGAACATTTAAAAAATCGCAATTTGACATCACCCAATCGAGCATGAAAAAATGATATTGTGATACATATAGTGTAAAGAATTAACCTCAATTTACAGATAATACTGCACACCTTCACTTTTTCCGAGGCATCTCTAATATGACTGATAAGGTCTTTCATTTTAAGGACTTGCCTTCCAGTATTAGTCCACTTAAATCCTTAGAAATGATAACATATAGCAAAACCCTTAAAAGGACAAATTTCTACTACTCCTCAGGATACCTAAACTATTGGACAGTTTGGCAAGGACTATAAGACTAGTGCCAATTTCTAATGCTGCCTTCCTGACTTAAAAAAAACTATTCAAGTTCAATCAGTCTTCTGATTCAAGTAAATATATTGAGGCCTTGCTCGTAACAGAGCATGTCGATCCTTGCCAAACTCTCATTCTGACGAGAGATGCTTTTTATCGGTTGTTGATTTCAAGTTCATTGTCATAAGCAAGGGAAATTCTTGTCTTTGAAGGGCATTTAGAAGTGACACACATAAGGAAGAGAATATATGGATGTCAACTTCTTCATTATGAGGATTTCTTTGAGTCTGGTGTTAAGGGGTCTAAGGGTTTTCTCCAATGTACTGGTGGCCACAGTTTCAGGGTATATGGTATATGGGCTTGGGACTTGTGCTGCTTGTGCCTCTGCCATTGGCTTGTAGATGGGTCTTGATGGACTTGCCGCTAGAGAAGGTGACATCTATGTTGGCTTTGTTCTTGATGAGGCGGAAAATCTGATGAGTGACAGGGCCATGGTAGGGTATGGTGATTCTGATGGGCGATGGAGCTGGTTCCTCATAATAAAGAAGTTGACATCCATATATTCTCTTCCTTGGGGGAAATTTTGTGTCAATTTGGTGAAAAGAGAAACAGAGATGGTAACGTCTAGGGACGTCACAATATGGGTGTCACATGTCACGATACAATACATACCGCGATACAGTAGCCACGATATGATATGTATCTTGATAATGCATAGACAACATTTTATGTGGAAAACAGAGTCATTACAATGAGAATAGATAGAGTACAAAGACTCACTCATAAAGGTAAAGGAGGACAACTGACTGATACCCACCATCATGACACGAGTCAAGTCAACTATTCAGCATGAGAAAATGACAGGAAACAAATAAGTTTATGTACTGTTTTATGACAAGGAAAAGCTGGTCAGTCTTTTTATCGGGTCGGTTTCAAAACCAAAATACAACCGAGAAAGTTATGAGGAATATAACAAAAATAGTTTGTTTTGGTTTGGTTTGATTTTTTACACCGCACTCAGCAATATTCCAGCTATATGGCAGCAGTCTGTAAATAATCGAGTCTGGACCAGACAGTCCAGTGATTGATATCATGAGAATCGATCCACACAATTGGGATCGATGACATGCTTCAAACCAAGTCAGTGAACCTGACCACCCAATCCCGTTAGTTGCCTCAAGCATAGTCGCCTTTTACGACAAAAATGGGTTGCTGAAAACCTATTCTACCCCGGATCTTCACAGGTCAATAGTTTGTACTTGCTGATTGACATCAAAGTGAGATCAAAAAGGACAATCAATATGGGTTTAAATGTGAATTGATGCCAAAATAATCAGATCGTGCAAAGTTTGACGATAATGCACTGGTGTACTGGTGAATCACGACATCACTTCCGAATGAAGCCATGGTGGCAAATGCGATCAGGGTAATTAACATAATAAGTGTTCAAAATTTATCATGAAAGTCACAGGGTCCTTGCTTTACGCCTAATGTTGAATGCTTATTATAAGATTGACAGGGACCCAAGATTCAAATACTATAGGAGCAAATGCTAAAGGAACCCAGGGACCCACCATGCCCACTGAATTTCAAACACTGATAACACAGTGGAGATATAATTCACTGAATGATGGAGGATGAGCTTACAGGTCCACCTACCATGTCTACACAAAACTTCACACATATGAAAAAATAACATTGGAACAAAAAATATTCTTCCTTCAAAATATATCACCTAGTCTAAGTAATACATACGATAAACAAAACCATTAACCTTGCAACATGTCCAAATCAATATCTATTTCAATTCTCTGTTTCTTTGTCTAACCAGAAATTATTTATGACAAATCATATGTTTTTATCACGTTTATCATTTTTATTGTGGTCAAATGTTTTAGAAACGATATAAAAAAACAAGTAATAAAAAAAGGACTAAATGATATCTAGAAACACCAGCCAAGCTGAAATATTAATAACTAATGTAAATGTCAGATTACCTTAAAAACTATACTATGAATACATGGATGAGACAGTGAATATTGTATGAGAAGGTCTTGATCTGTTGACACATTTAGAACAGTATTTTCAAGATAGTTACTTATTAACCCCTTTTTTGAGATTTCAATTTTCATTTCACTCCACACAGCAGTATTTCAGCTAAATGAAGGCAGCCTGTAAAATAATCTGAGAAAGTGAGGGAGTTGATATATTTAGAGTTAATTGTAATTTTTGGTATTGTGATACAATCCTTAGAATGACACCATGTATTTCAGTGATTGCAAACAACGAATCTGGTACAGACATGCAAATGGTCATAATCGGGACCTGACAGACAATCCAGTGACTGATACTGTAAGCAATAATCCATGCCATTGGGGTACAACCTAGTCATCTAGACTGACCACCAATACATTTTGTCGTCTATTACATGGGTTGCTGAGGACCTATTCTCATCAATAATCCAGGGGTTCAATTTTCATCACTGAATATGTTGATTATAGCTTATAAACATTATTGTCTTTGTTTAAAACAATCAGTCATACATTATTACGGTCATAAGTGGTTATTAAATAATTCAAGTATTTTGCAGAAATAATATCCTCAATGTGACTGTTAATCATATCTGGACATCTTAAAGTGAAATGCCTGATCATGCATGCTATGGTTAGGCACAATGGGTATGTTTCATTGTCAAAAATAATATACCAGTATATCATCATGATCATGTATCCATAATTTCAACCAATTACAACAATACACAGTCATCAATAAATTTCATGCGATTCTGTGGCATCTGATTGGCCAACCAAGCATCTTCTTTTGCGTTTATGTTTCCATGAACCGAAACAAAACTAGGCCATGCCCACTCACCAACTATTGAACAAAAAATGTTACATAACAAGCACAACACCCACCCCACCCCACCCATAAAACATTACCAGTCCCTTATTACCCATTAATCACCTTACTGACATGACATGTTCAATGATAAATGATAATTGTGAAGCCATTGTGACAAACTCACTGGAGGAAAACATGATTGAAACCAAAAGGCCCTTAGAAGGCTAATTGGAAAAAATAGCACAGCATTCAATGCAATATTGTATGATGGGCATCAAATATGAACATGAGTTTTGTAATAATGCTTAATGTTTAAAACTAAAATAACTATTAGAAACGGGAGATTTCAGCATGTTCAGAGATGATACATTAATAAATAAGGAAAAATTAAAAGCATTGCAATGTCCAAAATATTAAACCGTAAATACATTGCAATGCTATTTCATTTAAATACCTTATTTATTAACATATATTTATAATGTATAATGTATGAAACTACCAGTTTCTAACAGTTATTTTAGTTTTAACCATTAAGCATCATGAGCATTAGGCCTATTACAAAACTCATGTTGATATTTAATGCCCATGATAATTGTAAAATAAAAAGGGAAAGATTCTGTCTCTTTATCATGTTTATTGGTCCTGTCATAAGTGACATGCAAGTTACCTAGACCCATCACACTAATTATAACTATATAGATCTAAACATGAGAACTTATTACATTAAATTTATGAATTGTTACTGAAATTTGAGCAGTGAAAAAAACAAATAGTCATTAATTACCATGACATCAAACCACCCTTGTGATCAATATTATTAATAAATAAAACAGTGATTATATTTAAAACGTACTCGAGATTTTTTTATCATCATGATCATAGTCACATTATAATAATGACATAAATCCATATTTAGCCATAATTCCCAATACAAAGTGTAAAATTAAAGGTTATTCTGAGTTTGGATAACTATGAGTCTTATTTTTGGTTCATTTAAAGTATTGTTAAATCAAACACAACATTATTAATTCTGTAAATCAGTTCTATTGTTACACACTTTCACAAGAGAGTTCCAAGACCTTGGTATCTAGATATTTTGGACGAGTTTAGCAACCGACAGCAGACATTACACAAGAAAACCCAAAATCCACAACAGCCTTCGGTCCAAGGACACATGTGAAGCGAGAATTATGTAACGGTATGAATTAAAGCCCGCCGTTGACCGCTGTCCGGCTCTGACCACAATGCTGACTGACCTGTGGGGGCGGGACTCGCGGTGTCAGACAAAATGAGGCCGACCCGGTCGTGTTTACATCATGTGGAATCCATGCGATGCAACTTCCACAAACTTTTCTCACAAAGGATTGATGAGATAAAACTGACACGACAAACACATGTAGGACTTAACTACAATCTCGGGAGAACTGAATATTAATAAGAAAGGATATATTTGTGTAGTTTTTGAGGCGAAACATGTTGGCTTCCCAAAGTACGGACGACAGCAGTGTTGACATTGTGGCCTAGATTTCCCGACAATCTTCGGCACCGATTAGCATAGATGTGTATCATTTTCATGTAATGTTATTTGCCTGGAATAAATTTTAACGTACCTTCCGTGAAACCAGTCCTTGCATACGTCACATTCGATCATGAAAAGCGTTTCATCGTAAGGTTGGCGACATAAACAATATATCGGCTCCGTATCGGACGCCATGTTGAATGCACGTTCGGACAAAAGCATAGTATTCGGCTTCGTCCGTATAAGGTCACGGAGATGAACGAGCAAAGGCGGATTTAACCGACTCCCACGCACCTGTTTTGATTGTCGAAGGCGCGATGGCTTAGTCATATAATAGCAGTTTTACCATGAACAACCCGCCAAATTCTAAACTTTCCTCCACGCTGTTTGACTATAATTATTGACACCCCTTTTAATCTAGATATTATGAATGGCTTTTCTTAATATTAGAAATACAGGTTATAATCTCTATAATATTCTGAGGGACTGGTAATGCTTGTATATTTTCGACATATCACACACACACACACACACACACACACACACACAGTTGTAATATATATTTTGGTGAACCCCCTTCTTTCGCTGACAAATCCCTCCTTAATCCCACCGCCCACTTATAATAAGACAACCTAAGACAAACATACCACTATGAACAAAGTCAAACGTGTTTCCATGGAAACAGGAAAAACCTCTTCTTTTTTGAATTCCTAAATAGCAAAAGGCACTATTTCAGCCCTTCATTAATACATGTCCCAAGTTAGGATGAAAAATGTTGAAAATTGTTTTAGTTCTGCTCCGGAAACAATACCTACCTCCGTTTCAGCTTTGTCAAACTAGTTTCCAAGGGAAAATCAAATTGTGAAAAATTCCTTAATAGCAAAAGGCACCACTTCAGCCCTTTGTTAATACATGTACCAGGTTTAATCCCATGGCCCACTTAAGACAACCTACTTTCCGCGACGGAACCGGAGTATGACATTTTACTGGTTCTAAGCCAAACCGCTTGTACTTTCATATTCATAATAGCCTTAATGAAAGTAACAAGGTCCTTTTCATTTTATGATAGACAAAATAACCAAAGGTCAGTCAAGTGATGAAACAAACAGGTGGTCCTTTCGTCTAAGCTACTACAATTTTCTGTGGTGACTGTCCCCCCTTAGCTGTGACAGGATCCACTTGTCACTTGAATCCCATATGAATCCCTATTAAGATCCTTTGCGTGTCAGTAACATATCCGTACGTTGCAAATGCTATGCTATTAGCAGCATTCTATGGATTGTATCAATACCAAACAAGAGTCACTAGAAGATGTTACTTTCAATCCAACTTTATGAGAGATTGTCCATCTAATGTCTGTCTGTATACATGAGTAGTTATTTGGCTATCAAAAATCAATACCATGGAATTGGGATTCGGAACTTTGTATTTATGTGTCAAGTACACACCACTATGAACAGAGTAAAAATCAAACTTGTTGCCACGGAAACAGTAAAAAATATAAATTCTAAAGATCCCTAAATAGCAAAAGGCACAAGTTGACAACCTGGGTGCCGTTGTACAAAACAACCTAAGCACTAAGTACTGTCATAAGTCTGTGTTAAGGTATGGGCGTTACGATCACCTTAGCGCCAAGATCGCTTTGTACAACGGCACCCTGGTCGTTGTGTGTGCACAGTTTCAAGGAAGAGTTCCTGTTAGTTTTAGAGATATGGTCCGGACAAACATACCACTATGAACAAAGTCAAACGTGTTGCCATGGAGACAGGGAAACGTTTTTTAATTCCTAACTAGCAAAGGCACTACTTCAGCCCTTCATTAATACATGTCCCAAGTTAGGATGAAAAATGTTGAAAATTGTTTTAGTTCTGCTCCGGAAACGATACCTACCTCCGTTTCAGCTTTGTCAAACTTGTTTCCAAGGAAACAGGGGAAATCAAATTGTGAAAAAACTCCTAAATAGTGTCATAGCGACTGATTTAGGACATCCATTGTCTGAAGAACATTTGATTGCAAAGGCTCATTACCCTGGAGCCATGACATCTATATGCCTTGAAACACTTAATTGCTGTTATTTATAAGATGCTAATCCTAATTGTTAATCCCCATTTTTGTGTACATCGACCGTCTGCCATCCTGAACAGGATGTGCAAGTATGTCACTGATGATTTACTGTTTACATATATATTTATTACTTACTAAATGTCAGGTGACCTTGGCTATATAAGCCTTGGTCCAGAGAGATTGAAAGAGGAGAAAGAAAGGTCTTACCCTTAGCCTAGCTAGGTGGGTGCTCCGGGGCACCAAGACAACAACTACAACCACTATGTGCTGACATGGCACAAAGTGTCTTTTGTATGTATATATCTACATGTATAAGTAAAACTGTATATACCGCAAGCCATCGTCTCCAAGTTATCACTTCCTGCTGAGAACCATACGTCGGCCCCTTGCATATACGAGTGTGCAAATTATTCATTAATCAACGGCGGACCAACGCGTTGTTAATTGCAAAAGGCACCACTTCAGCCCTTTGTTAATACATGTACCAGGTTTGGATGAAAAGACTTTCACAGTTTTCAAGTTGTGCTCCGGAAAGGCACCACTTCAGGATCTGTTTGATATATCTGCCAAGTGCTTGAGTTGTGCCCCGGAAAGAAAATCCATGCCCTTATGAGACTATGTGCTTAGAGTTAGTGAGTTTGGTTTACTCCGCTTTGAACTTGCCAAGTTGAAGGAAAACCCGAAATAAGGCAGGTCTCAGTTCTTTATCCCAGTTTGAACCCACACCTATTAGGGAGGCAACTTTGTACATCGCACTTCTCATAATTTACTGTGGATTGTAGTCTCAATTTAATATGCTCCAAAATATGTAGTCTACCGGTCTCGATGGGGACATGAGTTGATGTTAGCTACATGATGAACGTGAACAAAATACGTTAGGGATTATCAATCTTTTGGGGGATATTTTATGAATTGGGTGCTCCGACAACATATCCCCACAAAAAATTCATGATCCCCGACTTTTTTTGGTTCAGTATAGAATGGGCCTCAGCAATCAGAATACGACATTCATGGTACGATATAACACTATGTACAAGTCTTGTTTGGATATGCCCCCGTGCAATGGTGAGTCTGGATGATAAAACTTTCGCTCTCCAACTAAAGGACGGAGTCCGATTCCCAAGGTGGATATATTCTTTGTCTGTCCTGTCATTTTATGACTGGAATACTGCCACAATCACATGCCCATTCTCTCTATCTGTCTATCTATCGCTCTATCTATCTATCTATCTCTCTCGCTCTATCTATCTATCTATCTATCTATCTATCTATCCATATTCTTGTATATTGTTTCGCGTATATTTATAATCTCTTACTGGAAACCAAACTATTTGGTATACAATGCTGATCTAGCATCGTTATTATAAATAGTATTTTTTTCAGAACATACACACATACATACATGCATGTTAACGGGATATCAATGCACATAAATACACCTATTTCGTTCAGGCGGCGATGGCATTTGAAATTGTAGTAAACCAAAGATCAGACAGTGTTTTCACCCACTTTCAGACCCGGCCCCGAGACCAGACACCACACCTGCAGACGTCAGTATAGATAATGCCACAGCAGATGTATGAACGTGCAGTCATGACTTTCACGAACTTTCCTCGTGCTGCACGTGCAGTGTCACTTTTCCATGTTACATTTCTTCACCACTGATAAGATAATATCTCATTTGGAGGGGTGGGGAAAGTGGGACAGAAATTTACACAGAAAGGTTAACAACATCTGTAATAGGCACTATTTATTTTGAAGTTCGTTCACATGTTGAGAATTAATTTTGTTTATATAGAATGCAACGTCTTATAGGCATTATTTCAGCCATATGGCGATGTTGACCCAAAACGTCTGTGACGTTGAACCATCAGTAATCATGGTAATGAGATAACTTTTGAAAATTGTTTCCCACAGTTTGAGTATCACTCAGTTATCCTGATTTGTTTGTTCCGGCTATATGAAGGCTTCCTGTAAAAAATCGAGTCTGAACCAGACATCCTAGTGATTGATATCTTGAGCATCTATTTCACGATGACATGCATCAACCATGTCAGCGAGCCGGCGTGAAGATACGGGGTAGAATAGGTCTTCAGCAACCCATGCTTGCCATAAAAGGCGACTAACGGGATCGGGTGGTCAGGCTCGCTGACTTGCTTGATGCATGTCATCGATCCCAATTGCGTGGATCGATGCTCATGTTGTCAATCACTGGATTGTCTGGTCCAGACTCGATTATTTACAGACCGCCATCATGTAGCTGGAATATTGCTGAGTGCGGCATTAAACAAACAGAACAAACAAAAAAAGTCAGCGAACCTGACCACCCGATCACCATACCCCTGCTCTGGGTTTCACCTAAGTGGTAAAGGTCCGAGACCTACATCACTTCGGGCTTTCCTCCCACATTAAGCTGACACACCCTGATATAACAGGAATACTGTTAAAAGCGGAGTTAAACCTAACTCACTCACTATTCAATTTTAACTGAGGATTGAGAGTACATAATGAAACAACACAGAAGAAGAAAAGTTCTAGAACATATTTATTGGAGTCATCTGTACAATACAAGATATACATGAAAATACTCACTTACTTCTCCATGTTAAGTAGCAAATTGTTGAAGTAACCATGTTTTAAAAATATATTTGAAACTCCTTAACAAAAGATAAGCCATAGATACAATGAGAATTTTACTAGGCATATTTAAGTTCATTTCAAATGTGTGAATGTTTTGATATGGGAATATAATAAACTGCTTGTGTTTCAATTCTCATACAAATTGCTTGACACAAATTCTACAGAGAACGTAAATACACGTCCTTCCTTAAAATCACATTTCATATTGATAACTATATGCGGTGTTTGAAACCAACCACTACATCATATTTGATAATCCCTATGGTTTAAGTGAATGATGATCATTCATATTTGTTTTGTCTTCTTGTTTCAAAATATTGTCAAAACTTTGTGAGGAATCTTAATGGCATACAGCTTAAAGATAAATTAGACTAATGTAGAAATCATGACGTATTAATGATTTGTCTTTTGTTAGAAATATCCCTGATGAATATTGAAACGGAAATGATTTTAAAGAAAATCAAGTAATTTACCCTTATCTTTTGAATAACAACTTGTGAAAAGAACAAGACATTATGCATTGTCAAAAAGAGTTTGTTTTGTCTGCAAATACACACATACACACAAATTCAATACACTGATTCTTCAAATACTAGCATTTGTGGTCATATCGCTGACACTGATGTGCTTAAGAAAATGAACGAACAAAACACATAGACATTAACACTGTACATGTATTCTTCTGATGGCAACTGAATAGTGGCAATGGTTCCTAGAGTAGCAACACCAGCTACAGCAGCAGCCGATTTGTTTTGAAATAACAGTTGTAGGCCATTACATTCTTAATTTATCAAATAATAAGTCAGAAGTAGGAAGATCATTGAATTCTGAATTCAATAAGCCTGAGAAAAAACCGCTTTTCTCAAGGATGAGGGCCAAAATCTGCATTTATTATGCACAGAATACGCTACTACTGTTTGACGCTGATTTGTGCCTGCTTATCTTGTTCTTGGTTATTTAAACAAATACTTGGGGAATCCCATGTGCATGGAGTGTCAACAGAAAAAGGATTTTGATTTTTTTTTTTATAAAACAAGATCGGTGGCTACATGATTCAACAAATTTTAAAAAAAATGGCTGTATTTGATGCAAAGCAAAGTTGTGATCAGGTCAACCTGCTTCCTTTGAATGTTGACATGCCATGGGACATGAACGTAACATGAAATACACATGCAATACAACACAGAAGGTAGGAACCCAATGTCAAGAAGTGTGATACCTGATTGAAATTGCATAGTTCAGATGTCTTGTATCAAGGTTGCTAAACAGAGAGAAACCGAAGAAACAAAACCACTTCCTGTATCAGCTCCTGTCTACTGACTGAGACCACGGACTTGCTCATCTACGGAAAAGGTTTGTGCAAATATACACACAGTAACAAACATACACTTAACAAAAAGACATCAGTTTATAATGATGGATTATAAATAAACACATACGATCTGTGAGGAAAATGCAAATCAATATCGTCACTGCTAATTTGATAAATATTTACACAAATATTGACTTCCTAATCCTACAAGTATTGCATTCTTTCAGTCCAAGCCTAACCATTCTCAGCATGCTGACGAACTACAACAGCATTTTAAAACTCCATCTCACAGGGGCTAGAACTGAGATGATTTTGTTTTTATCTAGTTCTTTTTCCTATCCAGCTCAAGATAGATCTATGCCAGGAAAATATTATATATTCTTTTTGTTCTTTAAACAAAATCACCTCAGTTCTACAAACCCATATTCACTGTCACTGTCTCACATAATTATTACACATAAGGCTGATAGATAGGTAGCCAAAAGACATGACAAATAAAAAGCAAATAATAGCAAAATACAATTCAGTGGTAAATATAAAATAACACAAATATTTCTATCTGTCAAACTTACACATTAAGTGGTGAATTGTGAATAACAAAAGCACAAATGCCAAAAGTTCAAACTAATTTAATAAATAATAAAATTTGAAATGACAATTTTTGTGTATTCAGGGCTTGTGTTTCAAATGAGAGACATGGACATCGATGATGTGGCTCGCGAACGTATATACATCTATGTACGTCTTTGCGTGGCTTTATCTTATATTGAACCAGAAAATTGTTATACAGTTATTGTGTCTAATGTGAAGGCTAAACTAGGTCTGAAAGAAAGTGCAAATGTAATTGATACAAACAAATTCCATGAGTATACAGTTCAAACAATCTCATCCTTCACAGATTGGGATTTTTATTTCATTTTCATGTAGGTTTATCAAGTTCACAAGTGAAGGATGACAAAACCAATCTCTTTAAAATCAGATCCTTTACTCTCAATCGAATCAACACCTCTCCATCAAAATCTGGCAAATCCTCCATGAGTGAACTTGCTACAGCAACTTGCTACTGACTTCTCGTTTGTTGTCTAATGCTGTACTGAGTATTCCAGCTATATGATGGGACAATCCAGTGATTGACATTATGAGCATTGATCTATGCACCTGGGATACGATGACAAGCATCAACCAAAACAGCTGGCCTGACTGCCCTACCTCGTTAGTCGTCTTTTATGACAAGCATTGGCAGCACTAATTGACTAACTAAAAAAATAATAATATACAAATAAAAATATTTACTGGTGTATGTTGCATTTATCTTACTTCACTGCTTCCCGTGTTAAAAGCAACAACCTACAAATTTCTTTCAGCTAAAATTTCATTTGTACTTCAACAAACGTTTATAAATCTGATTGTAATGAACTTCCAATGCCACAAGTTGTACTTTGAAGCCAAACTGTTTTAGCCAGTTGACATCTGACACCCATGCAAGTTCACTTTAGGGTTTAGTGGACGTGACCTATGGAGAGTTATATAGTTCTTAACGCCGAGAGAGGCATCAAATCGGAGAAAAATATCTAATTTTAATGAGACTGACAACAAAAGGTGCTGGCATCTATGTACAAACGAAGCAATTTGGTGATGTCTTGATTAAAGTGTCTACACATATGTACAATTACTAAGATGAACACATAATCTATGCTTGGTGACGCCATGAATATACCCCATATTATGATCACTGAATGGAATTTGGTGATGACAAATGTGTTTCAGTATGCTATATAAATAATGAAGTAACCTACCACTGAATGTTTGCCGGTGCCTTCAAATTCTCTCACAGCCTTTATTTGTTTCTTGGTTTACAGATACACTTTTCCTTCAACTCAAAACAGTTGGTGTTCTTAAAACAGAAAGAATTTATATATTTTCTCAATGTATTATCAGTAGATTTAAACCGAGCAAAGAAATGAGAAAAAAAATTATACTGGTCAAAGAGTTTCTCAGAACTTACCATTTATTCATATTGATTTCATTTGTTTTGTTTTTTTACTTCTTTTCTTTTCTTAGAATCTTTGTATTTATTTTAACAGATTTTGTTGCTATGTTACCAATAGGCTTATTTCTGATTATTTGTTAACACACTTGGCAGAAGTAACATATTGTTCTGAAATTTTAAATGATAAATTAACAAAAGAGCCTGGTGAGTACATTCGCCTGTATGCTCGCTCCTCAGTACCCCATGTTTAAACATGAGCCATCGTTAAAATGAAAATAGTGTCCCTGATTATCTGCCCTTAGTCTCACTTACCCAGTCGGATGCCGGTCTCTCAGGCAGTGTGGTTGGGGACAAAAGGCATATCTAACTAGAAGATACCATTTCATCCCCCAAGATACCATGTGTCATTATTCTTATTTCATGAGATCACTTGTAATACCAATTAGAATCAGCTTCATGATGTTTGTACACAGGCATCAAACCTGGCCAAGATGGTGCAAGAGCGACCAACCACTTTCAGCAATGCCATTTCAGCAATGTCAATTTCTGCAATTGTCACCCAAAAGCTGCCAGTTTTAAATATTGCATTCCTCAAACTATCCCTGACATAACACAACATACGTATTCAGATTGTAAAACAATATCTCAAGCATAACATTCTATCTTATATAGGAAAACCTCCATCTATTTCAAGATTCATATTTTATTCTTTTCAAACAATAGTGTAAAATTAAATATTGAGCGAAATATAATCCATTTTGTGCAATTGATCTTCAGACATTTTGCAAGGAACCAGTCCATTAAAAAGTCATAAAACACCATTCACATTTACTTTGGGACAAAAGCAGAAAATTTATTATGTACATCTGGGTTTCATTGAAAATATACTTTCAAATATACATATTAATTGACATGGGCTGGGTGAAAACTCCTCATTTCTAAACTAAGTGTTGTAGTTAACCACTCCTGTTGACTACATCAGACCTGTATGATACACATACGGTGAAACCTTGCAAGTCAGGATCCTGAATACAGTGAAACCTCATAAGTCTGGACTCTGCAAACTGTGAAACTTCATTAATCTGGACCCTTCATATGCTGAAACATTGTTAGTCTTGACCATGCATACAGTGAAACCTCATTCGTCTGAACCCTACGTGAAGTGAAATCTTTTAGTCTTGACCTGGAGAGATGTGAACACCCAAAGGAATATTACTCCATTTTCGTAATTTGTTCATCCAGAAACTTGTTAATCGGTACTTGTTTCACATGGTACAGTACCGCCAAATTGACATGGTTTCACTGTATATACATGTAATGGGTTTGACTCACTTGGGGACAGACCCTTTCTTGATTAGTGCATGAAGGACAAATAATTAATATGTTGTGGTATAACCTTCTTTCCTTTAAACTACACAATCAGATTGGAAATAAGCTGAGCTTCACTCCAGCGACCAATAATACTTGATGCCTTGAGCATTGGTTGTGACAGCAGGACTCTGTACAGCATTCAGCCTGGCAACTATACCCAGTTGCTAAACACATCATCACTAGCTAAACATCAATATTAAATCAGTATTTTTTTAACCTTAATATTCAAGACCATTACAGAACTCAGCTACAATAGAAAGATGAGGCATCAACAAATTGAGTTACATATACATATGGATATGGAGACTGACCAGTTGAATGCAGCTTTTTATACAACAACTAGGGCTGTCATTTACTGGTCCTGGAGTGAGTGAGTGAGTATGGTTTTATGCCGCTTTTAGCAATATTCCAGCACTATCACGGCGGGGGACACCAGAAATGAGCTTCACACTTTGTACCCATGTCGGGAATCGAAACCGGGTCTTCGGCGTGACGAGCAGACGTTTTAACCACTAGGCTACCTGACTGCCCCTACTGGACCTGGACGTGACAAGTGGCACCGATCCACCTCAAAATATGCAATCTGCAAGTACGTGATCACTGCACATACATTCCTCCAGTTTTTCCATTTTCACAGGTCATAGACGCCTGCCTATTTTACAGACTCGTCACAGTGAAACAATTTGTTCAACTGACTTAACTTTCAGTGGATATATCTCGACCACATCATGTAATGTCTAGATCAAAAGATTCCATAATATTGCAATTCCTTCTATGTGAGGCTTAGACAGGGCAATGACAGCCCTACCTTTGTAAATGTTGGATGGGGCAAGGTGGCACCATGAACCACATATAATGAACCATATCTGGAACTGAACCTGTACCTAGTGATGTAGAAAACACCTTCTCCACTGGGCTAACCTGCCACTCAGACAAGATAACCTTACATACATCTTACTCCGAGTCAATGTCTCCCCTTGCTCTGACAACACTGTTTTCACAGTTCATTCATGACAATACTCTCAATCTCTGTACTCTCGACTCCACTTCAAGGAACTGTCTATCCACATGCCAATGACATAACAATATTCCAGCCATGTATAAAACATTTGGATATACATAACATTTACTTGAGGAATGCCACCATCTTGCCAGTTGTATTCAACAAGATTTTAAGTTTCTATAATGAATACAAAGCAGAACACAATATGGAAATCTGATTTCCATCAAAGTTGTGCCAAATGTACAATATCCATACAATTTCAGTAAGTCCTTCCCTTTAGTCAAGTACTGGCTAATGTAACCTTCAGTGAATTGTCTTTCAAAATATCTAACCATGATCATGAAATTGAATCACAAATATTGTGTCACTAAGTAACAACATGTACAAATATTGTGTCACTAAGTAACAACATGTACAAATGTTGTGTCACCAAGGAACAACATGTACAAATGTTGTGTCACTAAGTAACAACATGTACAAATGTCTAACTAAGTAACAACATGTACAAATATTTTGTCACTAAGTAACAACATGTACAAATGTTGTGTCACTAAGGAACAACAAGTACAGATGTTGTGTCACTAAGGAACAACATGTACAGATGTTGTGTCACTAAGGAACAACAAGTACAGATGTTGTGTCACTAAGGAACGACATGTACAGATGTTGTGTCACTAAGGAACAACATGTACAGATGCTGTGTCACTAAGGAACAACATGTACAGATGTTGTGTCACTAAGGAACAACATGTACAGATGCTGTGTCACTAAGGAACAACATGTACAGATGCTGTGTCACTAAGGAACAACATGTACAGATGCTGTGTCACTAAGGAACAACATGTACAGATGTTGTGTCACTAAGGAACAACATGTACAGATGTTGTGTCACTAAGGAACAACATGTACAGATGTTGTGTCACTAAGGAACAACATGTACAGATGCTGTGTCACTAAGGAACAACATGTACAGATGTTGTGTCACTAAGGAACAACATGTACAGATGTTGTGTCACTAAGGAACAACATGTACAGATGTTGTGTCACTAAGGAACAACATGTACAGATGTTGTGTCACTAAGGAACAACATGTACAGATGCTGTGTCACTAAGGAACAACATGTACAGATGTTGTGTCACTAAGGAACAACATGTACAGATGTTGTGTCACTAAGGAACAACATGTACAGATGTTGTGTCACTACAACCTTAGAGTACTGAGCTCATGCCACACGTCTATCACAATGCACATCAAGACAGGCAGTAAATCCAATCTTTTAAGTACATCTTCCGTTGCATTGACTGCAAGGTCACACATGTCAGATAAGGCACATCCCAAATAATATCTCTTTAAATGAGAATGAGGAACCATCTTGACACATCCAGAGGTGGAACAACAACCTTTTTAAAGGACGGGGTTTCACATTTTGAAGTTTGAAGATCTGTGCGTGTGCGTGTGCGCATGTGTATATTAATAACACAAAGTTCATTTTTCTTTCCTTCATGTCATTTGGGGCCAGGAGTTATTCCAAAAGGTGTGTGTGTGTGCGTTTTTCAACCCCATGACCTTCCAATCCCACACCCCAAAATCAGTGGCAACAAAACTATTAATTGTACATAAAATTATTGTTGTTGTTTTCGTTTCTAACAGACAGTCTGAAACAAGTTGTTAACCTGGGACAAATACAAAATGTCATCATGATGCGTCATAATTCCCTTTACAATAAAACGTTTGATAAAATCTCTGATAAGTATCACAGTTATGATTGATGTAAGAGTGTAGGTCATGTTTACATACAAATCTGAAAAAGAAACTACCACGTTGATAATACCCTGCCACAAACTAAACCAGCCTCCATGTTCCATTTCAACTTGAATACTGTCCAACTGCAGCCGACCTCCAAACAATACAATCGTGACTTGTGTCACACTGTGTCTACAGGTGTCCTTTGTCTCGTGACTTGTGTCACACTGTGTGGTGTCTACTGTCTAGTGGCAGGCCATGTGATGAGGAAGGTGATGAAGTCCGAGCACATGCAGAGATGAAGATGGACATGAAGAGTAATGACTGGGGATGATTTCTCCGGAGGTAGCTCTTCCTCCACTGCTGGCAAGTCTCACTGACTGACTCTGAAACAGACATGAGAGAAACTCTAATTTCCAATGGGGTGGACCACATGAATCTAACTAAACAATGAAATAGTGTGCTTTCTTCACGACCAAACACTCCTCTTTAAACGATTTGTCATAAAAGAGCGATTAACGGGATCGTGTGGTCAGGCTCGCTGATTTGGTTGATGCATGTCATCGTATCTCAATTGCGTGGATCGATGCTCATGATGTCAATCACTGGATTGTCTGGTCCAGACTTAATTATTTACAGAACGCCGTCACATAGCTGGAATATTGCTGAGTGTGGTGTTAAACAACAAGTAAAGAATACAACTACAAGAACTTGTTTGTTTGATCTAAGATGGGAGAATACATAACTGAGTCCTCCATGACACAACAAGTAGATACATGGACAGGCCTGAATAAACTGTAAACATCTAGTGATTAAATACTGACAATAACAAAGCTAGTAGAATCAATAAAGTCAGCAAAGTAAAATGTAACTCCTACATGCAACCACATCAGTTCAACATATGGCTCCCTACACAGCACTGACAACACATGGCCCTCCTACACAGCACTGACAACACATGGCCCTCCTACACAGCACTGACAACACATGGCCCTCCTACACAGCACGGACAACATACAGCCCTCCTACACAGCACTGACAACACATGGCCCTCCTACACAGCACTGACAACACATGGCCCTCCTACACAGCACTGACAACACATGGCCCTCCTACACAGCACTGACAACACATGGCCCTCCTACACAGCACGGACAACATACAGCCCTCCTACACAGCACTGACAACACATGGCCCTCCTACACAGCACTGACAACACATGGCCCTCCTACACAGCACTGACAACACATGGCCCTCCTACACAGCACTGACAACACATGGCCGTCCTACACAGCACTGACAACATATGGCCGTCCTACACAGCACTGACAACACATGGCCCTCCTACACAGCACGGACAACACATGGCCCTCCTACACAGCACGGACAACATACAGCCCTCCTACACAGCACTGACAACACATGGCCCTCCTACACAGGACTGACAACACATGGCCCTCCTACACAGGACTGACAACACATGGCCCTCCTACACAGCACTGATAACATATGGCCCTACAACACAGCACTGACAACATGCCTCAGGTTTTGGGGTTCAATGCCTTAGGTTTTGGGGTTCAATGCCTCAGGTATTGGGGTTCAATGTCTCAGGCTATGGGGTTCAATGCCTCAGGTAATGGGGTTCAATGCCTCAGGTAATGGGGTTCAATGCCTCAGGTTATGGGGTTCAATGCCTCAGGTAATAGGGTTCAATGCCTCAGGTTATGGAGTTAAATGCCTCAGGTATTGGGGTTCAATGCCTCAGGTTATGGGGTTCAATGTCTCAGGTTTTGGGGTTCAATGCCTCAGGTTATGGGGTTCAATGCCTCAGGTTTTGGGGTTCAATGCCTCAGGTTATGGGGTTCAATGCCTCAGGTATTGGGGTTCAATGTCTCAGGCTATGGGGTTCAATGCCTCAGGTAATGGGGTTTAATGCCTCAGGTTATGGGGTTCAATGCCTCAGGTTATGGGGTTCAATGCCTCAGGTTATGGGGTTCAATGCCTCAGGTTATGGAGTTAAATGCCTCAGGTATTGGGGTTCAATGCCTCAGGTTATGGGGTTCAATGCCTCAGGTTACGGGATTCAATGCCTCAGGTTTTGGGGTTCAATGCCTCAGGTTATGGGGTTCAATGCCTCAGGTTATGGGGTTCAATGCCTCAGGTTATGGAGTTAAATGCCTCAGGTATTGGGGTTCAATGCCTCAGGTTATGGGGTTCAATGTCTCAGGCTATGGGGTTCAATGCCTCAGGTTATGGGGTTCAATGCCTCAGGTTTTGGGGTTCAATGCCTCAGGTTATGGGGTTCAATGCCTCAGGTTTTGGGGTTCAATGTCTCAGGTTATGGGGTTCAATGCCTCAGGTTTTGGGGTTCAATGCTTCAGGTTATGGGGTTCAATGTCTCAGGCTATGGGGTTCAATGTCTCAGGCTATGGGGTTCAATGTCTCAGGCTATGGGGTTCAATGTCTCAGGCTATGGGGTTCAAGGCCTCAGATTATGGGGTTCAATGCCTCAGGTTATGGGCTTCAATGCCTCAGATTATGGGCTTCAATGCCTCAGGTTATGCACCAGGCTATTGGCTTCAATGCCCTAGGTTGGTCATGGTGTTCAGTGCACCCTGTGATGAGATTCTACTGGCTCACGTGTGGTTTAGTCATTAGTGTCTTATGTTAACTTTAGCTTGAATCACTCACCAGTCCACTGTCTTTAAATGCCCAACTTCTACCTCCTGATATACTAAATCTGAAACACAAAGACGATGAATGTAATGCAACATTTACCATGGGTGAAACTCAGGCACATGCTTGGCGACCTCAGCCAAGGATTATATCACATGATACTGTTTTGGAGTGAGTGAGTGGATCTGGTTTTACGCTGCTTTTAGCAACATTCCAGCATTATCACAGCAGGGGACACCAGAAATGGGCTTCACACATTGTACCCATGTGGGAAATTGAACCTGGGCCTTTGGAGTGACTGGCGAACGCCTAAACCACTAGGCTGCCCCACCGCTCCTTTGTTTTTTGGAAATATCACATTGTTTTGTCCATAATGATAAATTATAATACCATCAAACTAGCCTGCATGAGTACTTCAACATTGCAACTTTGTTGAGCTGTGAGTTAGTGAGTTTCGTTTTACGCCCCTTTTAGCAGTATTCCAGCAATATCACGGCGGGGGACACCAGAAATGGGCTTCACACATTGTACCCATGTCGGGATTCGAACCCGGGTCTTCGGCGTGACGAGCGAACGCTTTAACCACTAGGCTACCTGTTGAGCTGTGAGATTCCATAGTTCACCTGAATGTTCTAAGGCTAACAATCTACACACCGAACCCAACATAAAGTAGCAGCTAGTGAACTTCAGGAGTCTGCGTCTTCCAGTGGGGTGCTGCAGGTGGGTCACAGCTATACATGTGAACTTGAAACGGACTTACTTTTCCACTCTGGTATAGTGTATTCACTGTCCTCAAAGCCCCAGTCAAAAGGTTCCGATGTGGGCTCATCAGTTGGGTCAGCGTACTGAGCTAGATACTTGTGTGCCAGTGCCTCCTCCGCAGTCAGGCGGTTTTTGGCATCCAGGTTTAACATCATCTCCAGCAACTTGATAGCTGTGAGGAATACATGGGAGGGGACCAATTAGGAGATAAACCAAATGTGTTTTAAAAGTAGAGGATTCAAACGCATATTTGATACCTGTAAATTTCATTTGAAACTGAACGTGTAAATGTGTGATTTTGAATGTGAAACATTTACAGGTATCAAAGTAACAAACTTTTTATGTCAAGTTTTCCCCCTGAAATATATTGCCACATTTGCCATAAATAATATAGTAACCACAGCATGTTATTCAGCAGCATTAAAGGGAAAGTAAGATCAGCATTTGAAATTGGGAAACAGGTTGGTTTGCGAAGAAGTGCTTCTGAATAAATATTTTCTTTCGCTGTTATGCAGGTAGAATGTTCCTTGAACATCCAGTGAGAAGTAACATGAGTGTTTTTTATTTGTTGTTGTTTAACACCACACTTTCAGCAATATTCCAGTTTATATTCAGTGATTGACATCATCAGCATCGATCTACACATTTGGGATATGATGACATGCATCAACCAAGTCAGCGAGCCTGACCACCCGATCCTGTTAGTCGCTTCTTACGACAAGCATAGTTGCCTTTTACGGCAAGCCTGGGTTGCTGAAGACCTTTTTTTATCCCAGATCTTTACGGGTAAGTAATATAAGAAAACAGTTTCACTCCAGTGTCCAACACAAACTTAAAATACTTAAAATGACTTCACAACAACAAACTGTGTGTGCTCGAAAATAATTCCTTGTAATCCTGTTAAAAATGTACCACTCACTCACTGTTGAAATATATTGCAAAAAGCTCTGAGACAAACTGTTTCATATATACAATGTTCTTCTCTTTGATACACCTCAATTCCTTCTCATTCTTTGTTCTTGATGTTCACTCAGTCAGCAATATTACATAATAAGCAATGTCCCAAGCCTTACAATGACACAACGACTATTGTAAGCACAACGACTATTGTACGCCTATGTTAAAATATCGCAGTTACGATCATCTTAGCGCTTAGATCGCTTTGTGCAAGTAGGCCCTGGTGTCTGTATGGTGAAATGGGGTTTAACATTGCATCCAAGATTATTGCACTCATATAGCGTGTGACAGCTTGTACTAGTCCAGATTAATGCTGATTTTATAGTGCTAGCCCACTAAGATACCATACCGCAGTTTAACACAGTATACTGACTCTCAGCTGACCAGTCCTTGTTTTAGCCACTTAGTGTCAACTGGTAACAACTTTTAATGTCTTTTGGTATCACGTGGCTGGGGATCGAACCCCAACCTTCCCCTCCCCTCTACCTCTAGACCATGGAGCGGTGTTTGTATGGAAACATAGAGGAATATGATGTATCCTGGGCAGTACTCACCGTCCTGGTTGGCTCCTATGAACAGTTCCTTGAAGTCTTTCTTGTTCCACTTTGGTAATGATGCAATGTAATTCCTGGCCTAGATTGGAAACAGAAAGAGAAAGGATTAACCAGTGAAGAAATTAAAACTAACTGCTGTCCAAGGCAAGCCTTGATTAAACTACTAGCACGTAACTACTACGGGCATATCAGACACTTCACACCAGAGAATTGCACTGTTTGAGTGATTTGAGGGTATGTGTGATATGGCATCAGACATGTAGATGTTTATCACATACAGTGGCATGATGCCATCACAATACCATCCTCCATCACATTCAGGACGATTAATACTCCAGACCCATTCACCACAAAAGCTCCATTTCGGAAGTGATGTCACCATCTCCCTCTGTCTTATCACCAACATAGTACAGAGCAAAGTTCTCTCTTGAAAACAAAAATGACAATTAAAAGGATCTCTGAACAACAGTTAAGCTTAGATCTCAATTCAAAATAGGGGCCATGAACGAATGAGTTTCATCGATACATTTAATCGAAACAGAAGACGATAATAACCATTCATAAATATAATGTTTTCCTGAGTACTAAGTTAGGAGTGACATCCTGTGCAACCAGGACTTCCCATGTGTACCAGAGATGGTCTGCAACAAAACAAGACGAGGACAAGTACTGTTTACCCAGCAGTGAATGGGTACTTAGTAGGATGAGATGGCAATGTGGCTGTTAACCTAGTTCCTCACAGGCAGCTGGGGATGAATTCTCACCAGGGAGCTGAGAATGATTGTTGAGTACACACTGATTCACTGGGGTGTGGTAAAATAATTAAGTGCGCTTTGAGCAACCAGACCAGATGGAAAACAGACCCTAACAAATGCACTTATCATATCATTATCATTATCACTGCTTGTTACAGTCATGAAAAAGAGTGGAATTTGACCGGACGTCTATTTGTAGCTTCATGCCATTGAACCGGCCACAAAATGAAGATATGGTTGCAAATGTGTCCAGGTTATACATCATAATAGAATAGAGACAAACTTTACTGGATAATCGAGGCTGTTACGATATTTGAAACCTCTTGTCACTGTCACATCAATGTCAAGACAACTCACATCTTTGCTCTCTATACTGTCTAGCAGCTCATGCCCAGGCGTGCCAACCAGCGACAGGATTTTGTTCAGTTGATCGATGTCTGCATTGGGTTAAGGAAAAATCTTATGCTTATTAATGAAGTGTGGGAGAGAGTAAAATGCTTATCATGATGGCTTGCAAGTAATCAAGTCCAACCAGACAGTATCAGCATCGGAAAAGTTGTTTTCCCTGATGGTCACCCTCCATTACTATTCATATCAGCAGTCAGAGATTCATTTTCATGGTATAAAGTCCTTGAAGTCCTTGAAGTCCTTGACGCATACTTAGCTAAGGCCCCCTATAATCTTCAAGTTTTAACATGAGGGCCATGACAGGGACCCCTGGAACGTTATTCCCAGTGTTGACCACAGTTTTGAAAAGAGGCTTGTACACCTGTAGTTGCACAGCACTGTGACTAAGTGTAAGGATACGATCTGTTCCGGGGAATAGGGGCCGGCTGGTCAGCATCTCCGCCATAATACAACCCACTGACCAGATGTCCACTGAAAACACAAACATCAACCATAAGTTTCCATCACCGACAGTCATATTTATCAGCTACGGATTATCTTTGTTCCCTCCAGGTAAATATTTGGCAGCACCATGCCTGTGCCTGATGAAAGAAAATTCTCCATATCTCTGTCTCTGACAACCATTGATACGAAGACATACAAGCGTATAGTCGACGAAGTCATCTATATCCCCCGCCCATTTTAACATGTTATGGTCGCAAACCAGGTAACAGACCCAACATTTCTCTTAGCCCAGGTCAAAATAGCTGCAATGGAAATTCTAAATTAAACATTTCTAAAACTTCGATATATCAAATGGCACCAGTTCTGTTCAGTATGTGCTTTATATATAGACATGCAATGTTTAGCAAACTTGTTGCCATGGAAACAAAAAATAAAAATGTATAAAATTTCTAAATAGCAAAAGGCACCGTTCAGCATGAGTCTGATAGACATGCAAAGTTTCGTAGAGAAATCTTTAATGGTTTTTGAGTTACGCTCCGGAAACGATTTCGGGACACACACACGCACGCACACACGGACGGACAGAACCCATTTCTATATCCCCCGCCAACTTCATTGGGGTGGGGGATATATAAGGAGAAGAAGGTTCAGTATTTGGTTTAACATTATTGCACTGAATTGAATCTTCACACTAATGTTCTCTCCTGTTTGTCACTGGCACCCAAGATAATTAAATCTCTGCCAGTTGAGACCATAAAACAAGGACACAACAAACACATTGTTTATTCTGAATACACACCTGTTTGTGTGTATCTCATCCAGTTGAGCATGATCTCGGGCGCCCGGTACCACCGTGTCGCCACGTACCCCGTCATCTCATCCTCCGTGTGGCGGGCCAGGCCGAAGTCCAGAATCTGGTGAAAATATACATTCATGTCACACACAAGGTAAAGAAAACTCAACATGGACAACATGTACCACACATCAAATGTGTCAAAAAGTGAAAGAATTAGGTCATATTAGAATTACCTGAACCTGTGCACAAACTACAACACTATGTGCTGCTAACATGGCTAAAGAATAAAGTTCTATCCAGACATTGTCCCTACAATGTTTTGTGTTGCTTTTAGCAATATTCCAGCAATATCACGGCAGGGTACACCACAAATGGGCTTCACACATTGTACCCATGTTGGGAATCGAACCCAGGTCTTTGGCATGACCAGCGAACGCTTTAACCACTAGGCTACCTGACCGCCCCCTGATATTTGAAATAGTCACCTGACAGTCAAACAAAAGTGTCACATTTGTCACAAATATTTAATATCTTTATATCTTAGTTTCCAATTAGATTTGATTCACACGTAACATTGTTTTCCAGTCAAATGTTGCATCTCCATATGAACTTTTGGGAGCAAGCAAATGAATTTGTGACAACCATATTTTATAACCATGACAACCACTCCTGCACTGTATCCCTAGCAATGTGTGACCAGGGTGACCTACCTTCAGTTCACAGTCCTCGTTTACAGCAATATTACTTGGCTTTAAATCCTGCAAGAAACAACACAAGTCAACTATGGTTGATGGTACATCTGTCATCACAGAAAGTACAGTAAACTGTGGTTAGGGACTACTAATTTTAGTGTGTTATATCTGTCGTTTGTTATACGTATTTTTGATACAGATGTTTTGATAGGCAGATTGGTGACAAACGAGGAGCTCGGCTCAGGGAGTAACAGTTCATTATACACTTAAACATTATCGTTGACAGAGTACGGAGGCCTGGACTGTGGATACAACTCCTACCCAAGTGTGAGTGAGTTGGGTTTAAGAAAGTTCAGTTTCACATATTAACCACTTTGGTTAAACCCACCATTACAGGTATGGTGCTAACAAACCAAGAAACAAGGATTTACACCCATGATCACATGTTTCTGGCATGCCTAAGGGAAGCAACTCTGCGCTGTGAATTCCGGTGACTTCAATGACTGGACCACCTATGCCACCAGTTAAACCCATGCAGGGAATCAGACAGAGTCTTCAGTGCTTGACCACTAAACAGATTTACTGACCGGCAGTGGGAAGTCAACTCACCCTATGTATTATGCCTGCTGAATGAATGTACTGAAAGAAAATAACAGAGACATATAGTTCCTGACATCACACAAACACATCCGGCACAGAAAAACAGGGAATCAACACAATAAGGATCTTAAATGTGTCTACATTATTCAACAAAGCTTCAAGTAAATTCTTAACGTAAGTTCAACTTCAGAGTGAGTGAGTTTGGTTTAACACCGCTTACCAGTATTCCAGTTATATCACGGTATATCAGCTTAATGTGTGAGGAAAGCCTAAACTGATGCAGGTCTCACTTTGGTGAAACACACTGGAGCTGAGAAATCTAGAAATATATTTCGGGCGAAACTGGGATTTGAACCCGCAATCATTGGTTTGTTGCATACTCAAAGGATGCAACTGTGAACACCGAACTGCAGCGACTGGGACAACCGTGCCCTTCAACTTCAGAAGACTGGATGAATTTAAACAGATTATCTTCAGGTTTTACTGGTGTAAGTGGCTATGTGGGAATCAAACCTGGGTCTTCAGAGTGACTAGAGAACACTTCAACCACTAGCCTACCCAACAGCCACCAGCAAAAGATTGCAAGTTCAGATTTACGAGTAAAAATTATGCTTTGGACAATAAACTCGTCATACATGTTTGTTTGCAGAAAGGACATATCTGGCCAACACTTACTTTGAGCCCTCTGAGTATCTGATAGACTAGAAATTGTACATGGTCGTCACTCAGCTTCTGTGTTTTCAGGATATTGTTCAGATCGGCACCCATCAATGGGGTTACCAAATATCTGAAAGATACAACATTAATAGGAGAGTCAGTTGTGTTAACATGGCTTATAAGCAATATGATTATCAGATCTTCTACTCCAACACCTATCTCCATCAGGATCTGACAAATCTTCCATAGGAGGTCACGTATGGTGAATCCTGAGTGAACTTGGACCCAGGGTTTGCCCTAGACATTAAAAATTGGGAGTCATTATGACCCCCAACTTTTCAGATTAGGAGTCATTCATCAATTTTTGGGAGTCATATTAACTAATCTCAGAATCTCGCTATCAGGATGAAAAATTAAGTAAACATAAACAAGGTAAGATTTTAACTTTTTATATTCTTCATTATTTTAACTGTAACATAAATATCTTTGATTCACAAAGTCAAGTATATTGGGCCTAATACTCGATAAATCTTTTTTTACACTATGAATCATAAATAACTTCTATTCTAATCTTTTTGGAAACTGTGAAAAGTGCAACGTAGATCGTGATAGGTACTAGGCAGAGCATGTATACTGTTGTGTTGGTCGTCTACCACCTGCCACTCGACCTTCGTTAACTCTTTCAACACCAGTCAAACAGAAGTGTTTACTGCTGGGACACTGAGTTCCCAGAGACTCTTGTGTGATAGATGAAGCCAACATTTATCAAAGAAAATACCTGCTTGTAAAATATATTTGCCACTACATGTTATACACCATTTGAAAGGTCTGATCCTATGGTTTATAAATATGAAAGTTATGTTTTTCACATTATATAAAATAATGCATTTACAACTTAATTAAGTTCGTTGTAAATAAAAAAATGTAAGCTAATACGTTGTTAACATCCAGATTAAGGACCAAGGAAGCGAAAACTTGACGATTTTCGGCAAATATAAGATTTCATAAAATCCACTTACCTATTTCTGTTTTATTTTCATTGTTTACGAATTGGAAAATCATTTTAAAAAGAATTATACCCATTTCCCGATAACAGCCGCTGTCCGCTCAGTAACAAGAAGAAATACCCCCGTTTTCGAGGCTTCGTATGAATAACACGTTCGTCGAAGAATGGCAAATGACACATCGCTAGAAAGCTTATTCCTTTATCTACACGCTCGTAACATCGGCTGGTTTTTTTCGTAGTTATAACAAGTGATTTCATTGGAATAAAATTGATTTCCAATGACGCTTTCTTGCCGAAATCTGCTACAAGTTTCGCGATTGGTCAATTTTGAGCACGTGACCTAAGGAAGCCAATCAAATTACAGCTGTGATACCAAGCTCGTGTTTGATAAATTTCAGAAGTTGGCGATAGGTTTTTGTTAAATCGTTATTCTGAATGTTTTAAGCAGGAAATCACGATACATATTAAAAATATGGAACTTCGTGAATGTATCGTGTTAGGTTACGAGCATTTTTTCGAGGTTACGAGGTTTTTCATGCATATATTTTTGCATTAAACATCGTGTCCGAGCCGAGAATTCAAGGCGACGAAAGCTGAGATGTCTTATATTACACGAGATCGCACAAAAAGATGGAAATAATAACTTAGATGTAAGCTTGATTACTTTTAGATATATTTTTGTTGATTTTATTTATTACTTTGTATAATATATTTAAAGATTTGTTTAACACGCCTTTATTTTGCTCTTTGACATGTTCGATGTGGACCCGTTGTCGAAATGTGTGTCCGAGAATGTTATTTTCAACAACATCGCGGGGAAATAGTGAATATTTATTTAATTTATCGATAAAAAATTACCCGCTTACGGTGTCTGGGGACTCATGTTTCTTGGCCGAAAACCGGCCTACGGTGTTGAAAGAGTTAACCGCTGATCATCTATAACGCTCATCAATTATTTGGACCCCGAAGGTAGCTTTGTAACGAGGGATCACTGTATTTCCTTTCTGACAAACGGAAAGGTCCCAGTTTACTAATTGTAATGGCTGTTTCATTGCGTCAACACTGACGCAGTAGTAAATATTTTTAGCGTATTTTCAATCATTATGCGTCAAATACGCAGGTTTTCTGCGTCAGGGCGAACCCTGCTTGGACCACCCAATCAAAATGAAATTTCCTGTCGCAATCGGAGTGAGTGAGTGAGTGAGTTGGGTTTAATGCTGCCTTAACAGTATTCTAGTAATATCACAGCATGTCAGCTTGATGTGAGAGGAAAGCCCAACGTGATGTAGGTGTAGATATGGTGAAATATCCACATACAAGTGTGCAACTGCCTCTTAATGGTTTTTTTTGTGATACAGAAATCAGATATTCTGCTTTGAATGATTCGCTCCCTTGTATTTAGAAGCCTTGAATGGGGTTTAATGTCACCCAAGATTATTACAGCGACATGCATGCAAGTGTGTGGGTGGCTGCTTGTACTAGTCCGGATTTATGCCGAGTCTTTGTTTCAGCCCCTAATAGTGGGCCAGGCAAGGTAACAACAAGTACCATCTTTTAACGTCTCTTAGTATGACACGGCTGGGATTCAACCCCCGAACCTCCGCTCTCCACTAGACCACGGAGGCAGTCGCTTCTTTAAAAGAAAAAGTTTGCTTTCGGGGTCAAGTCAATCAAGACAACTCTACATAACTTTGCATAAGGTTAAACATGCTGGTCACACATACACAGTGACACAGCATGGTTAAACTCAAGCACCGTTTGCGAAGAATATTCATTAGAGAGCGAGAGAGCGTTTTTACGCCACTTTTAGCAATATTCCAGCAATATCACGGCAGGGAACACTGGAAAATGGGCTTCACACATTGTACCCATGTGGGGAATGGAACCCGGGTCTTAGGGGTGACGAGCCACTAGTCTACCACACCGCCCCAGAATATTCATGAAAGACTCAAGTACTTACACATCCTGGAAGCGTTCAAATGACGTCTGAGGTGTAAATAGATCTAACAAACCAATTATCTGAAAGAAAAGAAAGAGATTGATCTTGTAAATACCTCACTTGACAGTGGAAGATGGGTTATGAATTGAGCATAAGCATTATAATGACAGAGAAAGACATGGAAGGAGTGTATTGTTCTGATTACTGCAACTACTTCAGCATGTTTACATGGTTTAGTTGAGATTGATGAACATCAATGTGAATTATTTCATCACACTAGAAATATTTTGCTCCATATTTGTTTCCACTATTTGAACATGTTGAAGGGCAACTAAACTCTACCTAGCAATTTCGTAGATAAGATTATTAATAGTTTGGGGCATACTTAATCACAAATGTTTTAACAAAAATCCGCGACTGGGGTAATTCCTATAGCTGGGGTTAAAACAAGTTCACAACTGCACAACTTCAACAATCTGTATTTTAATGATTAACAGAAACAACACAGAAACAGTGTACAGTATATTTATAGCTGCTAAGAATCACAAGATAAAAATGTCCACATATTAACTAAGGAAAACATGTGCTATCACTGCAGCACCCATAGCTTTATCTCACGCCCCCAAATAGGTTTGTTTTGGAATTATAAAAATCACTTGGAACATTTAAATACTTTCAACGAATGTCATAACCTTTTCTTTTTCGGAAATTAAATAAATGTATCTAGGAAAATTGATATTCACAACAGAATAAAAAAATTCTTTTCAATTTACTAGCCCATTACCAATGTTAAGGCTACATTCATGGTATAAAAGTCTGAGCATGTCAAAACAAGATTCATAATACTCCATAACATACTGACACAAACACAACTGAATTTACATATGATGTGTACAGGTGGCTTGCTTTGACATGCTGTCAAACAAGCTGTCAAACATAGTTCTACTTGTACTATACTACTCAACGTTTGATAGAGATATTCTGAGTGTAGGACCGAATGTGTGTGATTGGCTGCTGGCAGATGGTGTCATACAAATTGTATCCCATATTGCCATGCAACTGGAGCATGTTCAGCTTCATTTAGTGTTAATAAACGTAAGTACATGATTCAGGTACACCAGTTACTGTCCTCTAGTTACGTAACAGTAGGAAATAGCCCAGTATCCCTCCCAAATGTTGAGTCACATACTAACATGATCAACATTTGCTAAATCTAAATACCGTATTCAACGTAGTAAGCACTCTAATCAATAAGCGCCCATGGCGATATTTGCTAATATATTGGCTAATGAACAATCCCAATTAGCACCCCTTCCAATTGATCAATGTACACAAGACTTTATTCTTGTATAATACGCACTCATCTTTCAACTCTTTTTTTTTCTCACCAAAATTTAATTCTAATGAGAGCCCCCCCTATTTCTAATTTTGAGAGCGCCCTTGGCGCTTATTTCGTCGAATACGAAACTGTCAGAGTGAAACAAACTGACAGAAATAATCTTTGTCCGAGACACTTATGCATAGGAATATAGAATTGAAATTATGAAACAAAGATGAGGTCATTTTCTACTTCCTTCACCATACACATGTGTTCCTCATCAGGATCATGCTCAATTTGCAGAAATGTGATTTCCATGATTATAAATAAACTCTCAATGCATTGGATATAAAGAAGGAAGTATGTTTTCCAATTAAGACCTGATAAAATAACTTTGTGGTTCCTTGAAAGGTCTTACACACGCTCCCATAGCACGCTTAGAAGGTGTGTGGCCTTCACCTGATGGACAACCAACAGGCCGCCAGTGACGTCAGGGAGAGAAATTGTCTTGTTATTACAGTTTGTATTAAGGGTGTTAAACTGTGTAAGGTGCTAGGCTTATTTTTGTTCCAAGTCATGTTAACATTACCAGGTTATCAGCTTCCTTGTTTACAAGCTGCTAAAGCATGCAATGGTTTACTTAGGGAAGCAATCTATTAATTCCCACTCCCCAAACAGTGATATAGCAGTATGATCAGTCGTAATGTTTTTGTTTAGCATGTTGTGTTTAGCATGTTTAGCCTCCGGGTTTTGGCTGTTTTTTTCACAATTTACTATGCTTTGTTACTTACAGCCATTCAGCTTAGATGTTTGTTACATGCACTCGATTGGATTTCTGATTCATTTATTACTATCAGGCACATTCATAGTAGACAAAGTAATATCGTCGCCTTGCACCCCAATGCAGAATTCTCTGATTTCACTATGCCCACCCACACCTGCATCTAATCAACACACTTAGGACAGCTGGCAGTAATAGCCAAAGTTATGTTAGTTATGGTATCGTTCTGTGATGGACAATTGGGCTTAGAGATAGCTCTTGAAAACATGGCGAAATATTCTTCCATGATCTGAACACGCCACTATTGTGAGCAGTGGTCTCAGGCAACAGGGGGAACAAGCACAAGTATTGTCACAGAAGACAAACATTCAACATGTTCAAACATTGATAAATTCCACCTACATTTTCATGGTGCATGTGTTTCAACATGCGAATCTCTCGGTACGTTCTCTTGGCATGGATGGCTGTCTGGAAAGGACGGGCAAGCTTCTTGATGGCCACCTTCGTTCCCACCTGACTGTCATGGGAAGAACTGCAAGACAAGCACAACATCTGTACTGTAAAGTGGGAGGTATAGTGGTGGAGTCATGGGAAGAACTGCAAGACAAGCACAACATCTGTACTGTAAAGTGGGAGGTATAATGGTGGTGTCATGGGAAGAACTGCAAGACAAGCACAACATCTGTACTGTAAAGTGGGAGGTATAGTGGTGGAGTCATGGGAAGAACTGCAAGACAAGCACAACATCTGTACTGTAAAGTGGGAGGTATAATGGTGGTGTCATGGGAAGAACTGCAAGACAAGCACAACATCTGTACTGTAAAGTGGGAGGTATAATGGTGGTGTCATGGGAAGAACTGCAAGACAAGCACAACATCTGTACTGTAAAGTGGGAGGTGAGGTGTAATGGAGGCGTTGTGGGAAGAACTGCAAGACATGCTGCGGGACACTAGGACCACCTTACGTTGATCATAAAGAGTGAGTGAACGCTGCAGTCAGCAATATTCAAGAAATAGCAAGTCAGTTAGTATTCATCATAATCAAATCTGGACCAGACAAACTGAAAGCATTACAGAGGTGAAGGTAATATTTTTAAATCGGGGTGCACATTACGCAAATCAGGGAGTGAACAAAAACACAAGATGGAAGGACGAAGGCACCTGAGAAAAAAGGGATGGTGGGAAGAAGGCTGAGATGTGCACTCTAGTCAGCTCTTGTGACAAGCATGGGATACGATAGATCATTAGATACCAGTGGCTGGCTCAACTCCAGAATCCAAACAATCCTAAGAAGTAGACACCAAGGAGGAGAGATTAACCTGGAGTCCTCTAGGCTAAAAAAACATGGTTTTGATTCCACATGACAAGTTTGAATAGGCCTCAGTAATTGAAACCTTATACACTCACATTTGGTTTCAAATGAAAATCAATGCATGAGCAGAACACGAACAAAGTTATTATCCTACCTAGGTATTCATCATTGGTTTCACTACCCCACTATATACTGGACTACACACAAATCATTCTTTAATCACAAGTTAAAATATTTAAATCTAAGGACAACGCCTTAGCCATGTTACCCATGTCAATTTCATTTGTAACATGTTTGAGTGAGTGAGTGAGTGAGTACGTTTTTTTATGCTGCTTTTAGCAATATTCCAGCAATATCACGATTGGGTACACCAGAAATGGGCTTCACACATTGTACCCATGTCAACAATCAAATGTGGGTCTTTGGCGTGACAAGCGAACACTTTAACCACTAGGCTACCTGCCCACCCCTTAACATGATTGAAATTAAGAATAATCATGATAATAGGCGGCTAAGGCCCCTCTTTATACCAAAATTACACACGAGGACTGATGCTGACATTCATGGTTACAGTGCTTGAGTAAGACTGGTAGAGAGCAAAGGCAAGTTTAAGTAGATGAGAATTTGATGACAGCTCTTGGTCTGACTGCTCTTGGGTTGATGAAGAGGTAAACAGGAAATACAAATCTAGAAATCACGAGAGGCGTATTCAGGAATTTGAAACAGAGGATTCCACACTACCCATGTCATCACTGTATCATCATATTATGAATCAAAAGGAAATATTGACAGTTGTTGACTGTCACGAATAACACAACAACTAGTTGACAGTTGACCCAGGTTAACAATAAGTAAGTAGTATTTCTATAAGTCAGGAACAATTGAATATGTTGAGAGTTAATTTTATTGTGCAGAACTTCTTAAAAACAATAAAAACGTAACACATGTACCATGTGTACTGCCATGAAAGAGCCTGCATCACCATTCTCTCTCAGTATTTACACCATATACCATTATTTTGTGATCACAACAACAAACATGGAAAAATCATATTTTCAGAGACAATATGATATTTAGGAGGCACAATAACTCATGAATAACATTAAACCAATCAAACTTCTTGACTTACATTTTTTAAAATAGTGCAAAAACCAATAGTTTTTTGTTTCCATATTGAAACAACGGACTGTGTCATCCCTTGAAGTATGTAAAAAGTACAGAGATCAATGTATAGAGCCCTGTATAGAGCCCTCTCTCTCACACAAAGAACCTTGTACCAGGGCTGCAGATCATTATCTGCAGTATTTTTAGTATTGACTCATTTCTCATTCACACTGGGATTTCACAGGTTTCTTTGGGTATATAATATATATACTTCTACCCCGACCAGTTTAGTGGTTCTTTTTACACCAATAAGTCAGCATCCCCAACAAACAAACAAAATTCAGTTAAAATGCGGTATTGGGTGACTTCTAACCATGCTAATCTCTTTATCTGTTTGTGTGCCTCCCCATAAATGCCAAGTGTGTAACATGTCGAATAAACCATGCTCACAGCAGTTAGCATGTCTAACTATAGGTGAGACGTAGGACTATTTTTATCTATTACTCTCTGCAGTGGAGTTCATGTATGCCTGCTTCTGATCAGAAAAGAAAGATCTGTAAAGGTAGACAAGTTGGAAAGGATATACGTTGGATAATTTTGCAGAGTGTTGTTATACTATTGGGTTTTTTAATTGTTTTATGCACATTTGAACGCAGGCAGCTAAGAATTAATCATGTTAAATGGGTAATCGTAATTGTTTTTTCATATATTAGATAAAACCACAGTTTATCTGTAACTCTCTATTATCATGAAAACATTGACTGTAATTCTAGATTGCCTATGAACATGCTGAATTTCAGAGAGAGAAAAAAAGAGTCTAAATTATTGAGCCAGGGCCAGACAATCCAGTGATTGGCATCATGAGCATCGATCCTCGCAATTGGGACACGATGACATGCATCTACCAAGACAGCGAGCCTGACCAATCGACCCTGTTAGTTAAGACAAGCATAGTCGCCTCTTACGGTAAACGTTGGCTGCTGAAAACCTATTCTCTACCCAGATCTTCATGGGTCATGTTATCAGCGAAACACAGAGAAAGAGCTCTGAGAACAATATTCATCATAGCATGTTTAACACCTGTAACCGTAATCATGTTAATTGGGGGATTTTTTGCTGTAGACCTGGTGCTGAATGTCGGCCTGTGAGAGCATTTATACCTTGCAGGGATGAATCTAGACCTGCTCAGACGCTTATATTTGGCTCAAAGTCTGCAGCAAATGTCAGTTACAAATCACACATTCGGATTTAGGTTTCCAGTTCATATTAATAAAGTCACAATCAGTGATGTGGCTTTGGAGAGTTGACTGGTATATCACTGATTGCATGGAATGCAATGTAAAAATACCCTTGAAATTAAAAAGAATAAGAACCTTTATCATGTTCATAAAATCCCAATTTTGAATATAAATTTCCCAATTTGTCTGCCAAGGGCACTTAGTTTGGAAAACAAGATAAATCACTGCCATGTATGTATATATAGTAATATATTGGCTATTGTTAGCTGAACAAATTTTTATTATTGAATAAGTAGCAGACCAGCTTGACAGAAAGAATTTTTACAAGCTTAGTAGAATCAACACCTGATGATCTGGGAAAGACCCAGACTTGAGCAACCCATGCTTGCTGTAAGAATGAGTGAGTGAGTTGGGTTTAACGCCATATTTAACAGTATTCCAGTCATATCATGGCGTGTCAGCTTAATTTGGGAGGAAAGCCCGAAGTGATGCAGGTCTCAGATGTTTACCATTTCGGTGAAACCCACGAGCATGTGTATGGTGCTGACAAACCTAGAAACATAATCATAGGTTTCTGGCATGTCCAAGGGATGCAACTCTGCACAGCAAATCGCGGCGCCTTAGATGACTGGGCCACCCGCGCCCCCTTGCTGCAAGAGATAACTATGTTTGTCTTAACATGCTTAAGAGGCAACTAACAAGATACGGTGGTCAGACTTGCCGACTTCATTGATGCTTGTCATCGTATCGTAGATCAATTCTCATGATATCAATTACTGGATTGTTTGGTCCAGAATTGGTTATTTACAGACCGCCATCATTAAGCCGGAATATTGCTTTGTGGAGTGTTAAACAACATACAAACGAACAAGTTAGTAGTAGCAAATGTCACAGACAACTTTCTGACAATCCAATGCACCACAAGCATGTCAAGTGACACCAGTGACACCAACTTGTCATGCTTAAGTAAAGGGCCCCCAGTGGGGCACATTCACACTTCATTAATTCCCCATGTTCACTGCCTTACGTTCACCAAGGTGATGAGGGTAATTGTATAGTAAGAAGTGAGGTGAAGTGAAACAGGGTTAAACATCGCATTCAAGATTACTGCACTTACATAGCGACACGTGTGTGTGTGTGTGTGTGTGTGTGTGTGTGTGTGTGTGTGTGTGTGCTTGTACTAGACGGGACTAATGCTGATTTCATAGTGCAAGTCCACTGAGATATCATGCCGCAGTTTAACAATACCCCATTTGGACACAGTATATTGATTCTGACTGACGACCAGTCTTTGTTTTAACCCCAAAATGCAGAGCACCAGGCAGGGTAACAACAAGTACCACCGTCTTTTGGTATGACGCCACTGGGGACCTTCCGCTCTACCACCAGACGACGGAGGCAATCTGAATAGTAAGAGATTATACAGGCCACTGAAGCGCACAATCATGCAGCACAAGATACAATGAATGCATCATCAACACGCTGCAGGTTACAATGAGCATAATGATCACCTTGCTTTACCTACATTCCACTCTCGACACAGTGGGAGGGAACACAGTGTACTGTGTGACTTGACTGACTGCATATGTTTGAACAAGTCTGGAGACAAACACCGAGATCACTGCTTTCATTGCCATGCATTCTAAACTGTTTGAGTTATGGTAGGAAGGGCTGAGGGCTTAATTGAAATGCCACTTGTCAATGGCTCATTTGTGTTTAGTATAATCGCTTAGAAAAGATATCAAGATAACAAGATTACCAATCAAATTTCATATGTCGTTGACAATGATTTTTTGTGATGTTACTGTTCATGACAATGTTTTAACAACATAACTATAATTCACAAATATGCCAGCTAGATTATTTTCTGCCTGTTCAATTTCATACGGTTTGACAAGATCCCCCATGAGCTTGTACATCATTTTGAGGTACTTTTCTCATGTAACCATCATTATTATTGAACAATTTTCCATGTTTTGTGAGCTATGTTTATACATTAAATATGCACTTAAATTGTAACTTGTAGTTTGACACGATAAGCCACAGTTTGAAGAGGTCACACTGACTGAACAAGCTGATAAGAGTGAGTGAGTGAGTGAGTATGGTTTTACGCCGCTTTTAGCAATATTCCAGCAATATCACGGCGGGGGACACCAGAAAAGGGCTTCACACATTGTACCCATGTCGGGAATCGAACCCGGGTCTTCGGCGTGACGAGCGACGCTTTACCCACTAGGCTACCCGACCGCCCCTAGCTGATAAGAATATAAACTACAAATTCAAATATACCTCTTCTTACATGCATAAATATCTTTACCATGGGACAGATTCAGACAAGAGGCTTGTCTGAATCCCTGTAATAAGTTGCAATAATCTTGAGGAAACACAGCTACTTGTCAACAAAAGCATAAACATGAAAAGGGTTTACTTAGGATGATGTCATAGAACCTTTTCACCAAATTCATGGAATAGTTTTTCTGTATTCCAGTTCAATCATGTTTTCATTTATCACCTTGTGATAGGAACAGTTGTAGCATCTACTTATGTGATGACTGAAGAAAAACAATTGACTGGTAACAAGCTCACGATCAACAATCACACAATATGTACACAAACAATTATGGATTATGTGGAAAACATTTCAGCCTTGGGCGGCATTTCAGGGAGCTCCACACATTTCAGGAATGTTTTGAGAGCACCACAGGCCCCAACAGCATGACAACGAGACAAGGACATCCTCAAAGTAAATACACAGAAGTTTATAGGAACATATTTTAGCAACCATAATTACTTTGTGCATCCAGGTACATTATCACAATATGTACTGGCATTGTGCCCACTGATTAACTGTGGTGAGATGCGCTGTCACAATATTATACACCACAAGCCAAATGTTACACCCTTGTTGACATGAACAGGGCAAAACAAGCAGACAGGGTATGGCTAGTTTATATTGCATGCACACCCGGGCCGTTGTTAATTTAATCACACATTCCCAGCTGGCTGTACAGCCTAGCTTTATTCAAAGCGTAGCAATGGTTACAGCCGTAGCTTATCTAAAATGTATGATCTCGTGCAAGTCTAAATTAACAGCTGATTTCGCTAGTGTAAATAAACAAGATAACACCCTTGATTACAATTATAACAGGTCACCATACATGTTGAAAGTTAATGCACAAGCTATTTCAATATTGGTTTTATTCTAACAATAACTACGTATATAATTACGAAACATCTTTTGTCAAAATTTGCTGCGCACAAGTCACACCCCGTTTCGCGGATCTAAACCTGGAGGAGAAGGCGCTCGCTCATGGATTAAGTTATGGCGAAGTGTTTGACCTAGATTTTTCATTCAAAGATCTGCAAAATGTCAATATACACTAGAACAATATTATGTGCAAAATCTTTGCCAGGAAAAGAGATCGTAGAAGACAGGGGCTAAGATAGGGGTCAAGAGGTCACAAGGGGTGGCACTTACCACACTTGCCCATACGCTCCCATCCCAACCGGAGACAGCATTTGATATCGGGTCGGCACCTCCCATACCGTCTTATTCAGCTCGATCTGAGAAAACCCCTCCTTGGTCGGTTCAGACATTTAGGCCATACAAAGTAGCACGTGCGCTGATGGCAATTGTCGATTTCAGCTGGAAATATTAAATCCAGGCGTCTTAGCGACCTAAACTTGACTCTACCTGCGCGTGCAGAGGTGAATCAACGGGCACTTGCTTCCGGATTCCGACAAACAGACGGAAGTGAGGCTGGTTACAAGGGGCGTAATGCAGTCGAATAACAGAAGCGCTAAATTCGAAATTATACAGTAGATCTAAGTTGACAGAAATCTACCACAAATGTAATATTCACGTACGTAGATGTCTTTATTGGTTCAGTGTAGGAAAGTGGCGTTTTCTTTCCTTAGACAGGCGACAGAGTGTTAACATAACGTCAATAAATATGTTCTTGCAACAGTAATGTTTAAAACAGTGTCGAAATAATAGGTGTAACATTGTTACACTAAACAAAAGGAAGGTCGGCTCCAGGAATTTAGAGAGCGGTAGCGGTGGTGGGCATTTCTTAAAAATAAAGGATCGAGGTTTGTATGTTTGTTTTTAATCAGTGTGACACACATAATAAGCATATTTTGTTAGCAATTGTTATTTGAAATAAGGTGGAACTCCGGCAATCTGAAAACCCGGCCTTACGGACGATTGCTGTTACTATCTGGATTAACGGGTTTGCGATGTAATCCTATAATGGATTGTTGGATTTACTATTGTGGAGGAAGTGCAACTTTGTCAGATATTGTTTTCTGGAGGATAAATTAACGTGGTTAATTCAGGACCTTAATTAAGTCAGATATTAACATTGGTCCGGGCTAGCCTGTGTGACAGATTCCACTGTATGTTACTTTCATTATACTGTACTGTATATGTGTACCACTGAATCAACCATGCAGCCATGAATGGTACCTTTTAATATTTCAGCTAGCCTATATGACGGCGGTCTGTAAGTAATCGAGTCTGCGCCAGTGAATTGATATCATGAACATCGATCCACGCAATTGGGATACGATGACATGCATCAACCAAGTCAGTGAAGCTGACACCCGGGCGATCCCGTTAATCGCCTCTTAAGACAAACATACCGGTAGTCGCCTTTTACGACAAGCATGGGTTGCTGAAGACCTATTCTAATCCAGGTCTTCACGGGTCTAAACAAACAATACTTCAGAGCTAACAAAGAATGACTTCCATAGATCATTACATGACCTTACATGCCTCACAGGAAGCTTGGGTTATATACTCCCCAGGGAGCTGCGAATGAAAATGGAGTGCACATGCACTGATCCTTTGACCGGGGTAAGAGTGTAGCGCGATCACAATCAAGCGAGTCTGACCGCGCGAGTTGCCTCTTTCTCACAAGCCTGGGTTGCTGAAGACCAATTGTAACCCGGGGTTGCAGCTATCTAACATAATCTTGAACTCTCACATTCAGCAAAGCAACATAACCAACATTTTCAATTGTCCATGTCTGGATTTCTCACAACGTAGACCCGTGAAGATCCCGGGTAGAATAGGTCTTCAGCAACCCATGCTTGGCGACTATCGTAAGAGGCGACTAACGGGATCGTGTGGTCAGTCTCGCTGACTTGGTTGATACATGTCATTGATCCCAATTGTGTGGCTCGATGCTCATGATGTCAATCACTAGATTGTCTGGTCCAGACTTGATTATTTACAGACCGCCGTCATATAACTGGAATATTGCTAAGTGCGCCGTTAAACAACAAACAAACAAAACAAACTCACAACATAAGTTTTGTTATCATATCACCTCAGTGGCAAACATTCCTGGAGTTGCGCCCCCTTGCCCGCTTGGCCCAAATTAATCAATTGACATTTTTATTTTATACACATTGAAATTATTCACATAATTATTGGCCAGCTACTACTTAATAACAAAAGCCAACCTTTTTTCGGGTTTTAAAGTGATGTCAAGTACACATAACATATTTTAATCTTCTTAACAGGGATTTATATTTACTCATTATTAGAGTCCGTCCCCATAAGACATTTTATTATATCTCGGTTTGGTTACTGGTGAATTTGATTCCTTTTCATCTGTATCAGATCATATGTCCATACAGCTCAAGAATTAATAACCAAATTGGGATATTAATAAATTATATATCATGTCAGTGTCTTCAAGAAGTTGTTTTTGATATCTTCTCTTTTTCTCGATTTGTATTTTTAAAATTTTAATTACAGATTTTGAACGTTCGACACATTTTTTACTTTGTTACTCACGATACAATTTTATTTGGTTAAGCTACAGTCACACAGACAATGCGACCGCGATTGCAACTTCTTTGCGACTGATTCCTTTGCGACCGACTGGCGATCGCTGAGACCGGTGCATATTTGGAATTAGGGTATGATCGCCGATCAATCAGCGATAGGTTTTGCAACTTGTTAGTGATTGATCGGCAACTGTTCACCGCAGATACGGCGAAATGTTTGCACCTGGTTGAGACTGATCGGTGACTAGTGACTGGGACTGGTCGGTGACTAGTTGTCGATCGATCACCGATCAAAACATAATGCATATAAAAAAGGTACTTTCCTGAATCTCATCATTTATTTGCAAGTTGTCACCGATGAAGCGCCGGTCGATCACCGCCTCATCACTGATCAATCACCGATAGGTCACCACTTGTTTGCAAAGAGTCAAGGCCCTTGTGTGGACGAAACCGATCGCCGCACAGTGGAAACCAATCTGCGATTAAAATAACACCACTTGGGGACCTCTAGGAGACCAATGAAACCTCCGAGCGACCAAATCGGTCGCAGCCAGTCTTGTGTGCATGTTCAAAAGTCTGGTTGCGACCGAATGGGTTTTGCGACCGCTCTGAAACCTTGTAGCGACCTCAGTGAAACCTTTCAGAGACCCCTGGAACCTCATTGCGATTGTCAAATATTTTGGTCGCCAGGAGGTTGCATCGCGGTCGCATTGTCTGTGTGACGGAGTAATCATACTGTTTGAAGCAGACGTTATGTTTCACCGTAAAACTGAATAGAGTTATCACCCCTTCTGTATTTTTATTTTCACACACGAGTAATTTAAATGCTTTCGTATGCAATATCTTCTGCATTCGACATATATGATGCAATTTTATGGGTGAAATTTCCTTGAGTGAAACTCAAGGAAATTGAGTTGTCCATCACTACACACTCTGTCCCCAATCAGTTGCCACTCCCTCTGCACGAAGTTGTGAAAATCCAAGCCTAGTTTTCGACCCAAGAAGGCAAAAGTGTGAAAAAGGTCGACATACTATAGACACATAACCAACGCTGATAAGCTTGAAATCCACAATCTATCAATCTATGAGAGTTCGGCACACATCGACATTCAAAATAAAGGATTTTACTTCGAATCAGAATTAACTTCTAGCAGGAAAAGATGTTTTCTAGAGTATTAAACAGGGAAGTAAGTACTTATGCTACCAGGTATTCCCAGTTGTATTCGAGACAGTACACAAAAACAAGTCGAGTTCTCGCTGCCGCTAAACAATTTTGATTTTATTCTGACTGATTTCTATCGAGTTCTATTTGAAGGGATGCCTATTTTTAGTCTGACTGATTTCTATCGAGTTCTATTTGAAGAGATGCCTATTTTTAGTCTGACTGATTTCTATCGAGTTCTATTTGAAGGGATGCCTATTTTTAACCTGACTGATTTCTATCGAGTTCTATTTGAAGGGATGCCTATTTTCAGTCTGATGTCCTTCGAACTGGACTCAAAACGAAACTTTCGAATGTGTCGGAGGTTATCATCCTAATGTTATGGAGATACGATACGCTGGACAATCCGACGTTCCATATGGACTCAATCTAATCTTAAATGAAGGCAATAAGATAGATTGCAAGACAAAATGTTACAAAACATTATTTGACAAGACAAAGTTGACTAAAATCGCATACATGGTAACATATTCAGAATTAAAAAAACTGATCTGAAATTTCATTTTCATTTAATTCATGTCCCATTTACCAACCCAATATTTTCGCACCAAAATTCTGTAAATACAAGTAATCCAAAGAGTCTGGCCTCAGCGTTGGACAATTGTTAACAAAGCGAGAAAGCATTTTTTGTTGTCTGTATCACTTTTATTGTATCACAGTTCTACTTTTATTGTATCAGTTAAAACACAGTATAAAAGGTATCACTGTGCAATGAGTGCTTTGGGTGGGTCCGCACCGTTTGTAGCAGCTATCGGTCTTCGTTCTGTTGGTGTCCGTTTGTTGTCAACTATGAACGCAGCACCCGTTGTTGTTGGGGTGGACGTACATGTAGCTGCTGCAGTCTCTGGACAAGACGGAATTGTTCCTAAATTCGTGTCTTGTTGGTTGCACAATACAATAACATATGTGTAATATTTTATTCCAAACTAAACACAATTTCAGAACATATCTCAACTGCCGTGTCCTTGGTCAGATAACCCAGGAAGACTTTTGGTTGGTCCTGTCAGAGTTTGAAAAAGTCATTCAGATGTAAGAGATTTAAAGAAAGTGAAACAAAATCTCTGGTGTGAGTGAAGAGGAAACACCAATACAATGAGGCAGGGGGGCAACACAGGAAAAGTTCTGTACAAAAGCAATGGCAATGTCCACAGAATCAACTGTTTTCCTGGCATTTCTAGACCATGCAAAATGTACTTGACACTGGTAATAAGGATCGTCGCTATAACAGAATATTAAAGAAAGTGGTAATCCATAAATTGTGTCTACTTTGTCATCCTTCAACTTCTAAGAAATGCTTATCAGACAACACTTGCTTCCCATACACTCCTGCATAAGACTACCGAGCTACGCCAAAGATTGTAAAACATGAAAATTCATATTTGTCTTTATGTGTGATCTGAATTTTTTCATGCTCATCACATCTCTTAATGGGACTCATTCCACCATCGAAGTGAAATATGCAGTGACCCTGAGGTGATTTGGGCATGGAATACATAATGGAGAAATCATGAGAATCTGTTGGAGTTATGACTCCAACTTTATGTTATCAGTGTTATAGTTGATATTTAATTTCTCTATTTTGCATAACAAGAGGTTACATAATGACCCGTAGCGTCAGTTTTACACATTCTGAATGGCCAGTGAATAATATACTTGCTCAGAACCAACCACAACAACAATAGCGCGAAATCGTCATAATTTAGCATGGTTCAGAC